TGTAAATCTTCATAGAATTGGTCAATTTCAGCCTCTTCAACATTGGTGTTTGGTCCATAAGCTTGGATTACTGTGATGTTGAAAGGTCTGCCTTGGATTCATATTGAAATCATTCTATTATTTTTGAGATTATATCCCAGTACAGCTTTTCCCGCTCTTTTGTTGACTATGAGGGCTACTCCATTTCTTCTACAAGATTCTTGCCCAAATAGTAGATATGATAATCGTCTGAAATGAATTCGCTCATTCCCGTCCATTTTAGTTCACTGACGCCCAGGATGTCAATGTTAATTCTTGCCATCTCCTGTTTGACCACATCCAGCTTCCCAAGGTTCATAGATCTTACATTCCAGGTTCCTATGCAGTATTTTTCTTTGCACCATCAGACTTTCCTTTCGCTTCCAGGAGCATCCACAGCTGAGCGTCCGTTTGGTTTTGGCCCAACCACTTCATTAGCTCTGGAGCTTCTTGTCCTTGTCCTCCACTCCTCCTCAGTAGCATGTCGGACGCCTTCTGACCTGAGGGGCTCATCTTCCAGCATCGTATCTTTAAGCCTTTTGTTTCTGTCCATGGAGTTTTCTTGGCAAAGATACTGGAGTGGCTTGCCAGTTCCTGCTCCAGGTGGATCATGTTTGGTCAGAACTCTCCACTATGACCTGTCCATCTTGGGTGTCCCTGCACGGCATAGCCCATAGCTTCTCTGAATTACTCAAGCCCCTTTGCCATGACAAGGCAGCATTCCATTAAGGGGTTCTATATTACTAATGCTTATGTGTATATTGTCATAAATCATCAGTGTTTATAGGATATACAGCACAAAGAACTATGACCAGGGGCCAAATCAGAGGAATGAGTAGTTTCTCAATAAGAAGCAGAGATGGCTACAGCAATGAATTATTTATGAATATTCTCTATCAGCATCCTCGCTTAAGAAGTTGCAGCTCAGCTCACCTATTAGCTTACTTTTGTTCAGCAAATTGATCATTGGGTGGAAACAGTAGACTCCGTTTTCATGTTGATTTTGCCAAAATAGAGATTTTAAATTCATATCTGGAGAAATTAATGTGTTGTGACCCCCAGTTCCAAGGCTGCCTAGTTATCTGTCTTGGTACAGGATAAGAGAGATACTGTATGGAATAATTCTGCACTACAATTTGGACACAGTTAACAATAAACTTAAGTAAAGTCCATGCAACTATCGTCAGAATGGGGAGCTGGAATGCAGAGGTGTGAAGGAAGTAAACTTTTCTATCAAACAATAAACAACATTCAGGACATATTCGTTCAGCAAGAATAAATCAAATTTAAGATTAGATTTTCAAAAAAGGCATAGACTGGAAAAAGGAAAAATTTGGATTAGGTGTAAAACCTCCCAGAAAGTCCACTGCTCCAAAACTGCATTGGAAGTACAGTACACTCAGTACTCAGAACAAGGCCTCAGAAGCAGATCTAGAAAAGTGGGGTGGGGGAACAGGTTTTATACATAAAGGAATCCATGCAGGAACAACTAATAATCTCTGTTTAATATTTTTAAATAATACTGCAGTTAAATCCACCTTTTTTCAAAGTTTGCCAGGTATCGTGTGAAAGAGTAATTAAAATACGAATGTAGCATGTAAAGTGGAAACCAATTTGTTTATTAAATTAAATCTACATATTTTTATATTTTGATAAGTCAAACAGATGTATAGGGTTTTTTAATGCATTTCATAGTTTAAAAGACTTGCAAAGTAACTTGGAATATAAAACATAACAATTCAATATAATGAGCTAATAAAATCATTAATCACTGAAAGGCTTCACTCTCCATCACTGCCTGGACCCTGGATGTAAAGTGGTTCTTACTCTATTATCACTTGTTTCGAAGGCATCTGATTCAGGTTTTTTTTCTATTTTTTTTTCTTCCTTTGAACTTAGGTTCCAAAAAAAAAATCAAAAGTAAAAAAAACTTGGAAACTTTGATTAAGAAGCATCACTATGATAACATATTTTTTTCCTCTTTATGCCAGGTAAAAAACAAAGTCTGCAGGTTTCCACCCTTGACAAAATATGGAGAACACACACACCGCCTCTTGTGTTTCATCTAGACATCCTCAGCTGAAAGAATATATTTGTCCCACCCATTCCAGTGCTTGAAGGCTTCTCCACCACAAGACCTCAGGAGGGGAGGCAGAAGGTCTGAAGAGCACTGAATGCAGACAGCAAAAATGTGCCTGGAGCCAATTGGTTTCAAATATCAGCCTGTTGTTGCATCCCATGAGGCAGCCTTCCCGAATGAGTCCCCTCCAGTTTTTTGGACTACAATTTCCATTTGCCCCAGCCAGCAAGGCAAATAGTATGATGATAGGAATCGCAGCCCAAAATGTCTGAAGGACACCATCTTGACAATACAGTATCTGCCATTAAATCCTCCGAAGCCCAGCTGCAGAGGAAAGTGTGGGCACGTCCATCAGAGGAGTTAATTACATGAAGATGGATTGCTATGAGTTATTCCTCGCAACGGAATGTATATTCAAATTACAAACGGAAAACAGCCAGGTTTACAAAATAGCTCCTAGAAACTTGGAGAACAACCCCCCCAACCCAGTTTTCTAGGAATCTGGTTTGGGGAAAATGCTTGTCACGCAGAGGTAATCTGGGGAGGGAAGTTACAATCCTTCGCACCGCCCCCCCTCCTTTATTATCAGACGTTACATTCTTCGCAAACATTCATGCCCAAGGAAAGGTTGGAACAAAGCAGAGCTGCTCCAACCGGTCAGACAGGTAGGGAGGCTTGTTGACACCGTTATGTTTGCAGCACGCATGCTCCTTCCCAAGTTTCCTGGTGGTGCCTTTCCTCAAGACACCTTAGGAAATTTGGGGGGCTGAAGGAGAGCACCTCCTGCAACTGCCTGCGTTCTTTTGCTCTCTTTTTTTGGGGGGGGAGGATAGCTGCGGGGGGGACACCCCTAACAGAGACACCTGGAGATCGCACACGTGCATTACCTAGAGCTGCAGGGCAGGGAGGAGTTTGCAGAGAAGAGGACCGTAAGAAGGAAAGGTGAATCCTTGCCGTTCACCCACCATGCCCAGAGCTTTCCTTGTGAAGAGGAAGAACCCGCTGCCGGCCAGTCGCAGTTGGGACGAGCTGCCGGATGAAGAAAGAGCGGACACCTACGTCCCAGGTAAAGCCGTGGGAAATCGTACACCTCAGCCCGGCCGGTCCCCTTTCCTCTGGCGGCTGGGGAGGGAGACTGAGTCGTGAAGACTCCCCTCCCCACGCGTCCAAAGTCCATGCGCCCCTGCTTGAAACCGTTAAGGCTTTTTTCCACAGACGATAGGAATTTAAGGACAGTGGTTCCCTGATCAAAACCAATTTTAAAATGGAACCAAGACGAGAATAAAGGTGGTTTCTGGAAACCATACGCTGAATTCGGCAGAGATGGGACGTGATTTGACACGCTCTGGTCTTGAGAAAAGGGCTGTTCGGGAATTTAGGGACACGTGTTACGTCGCTTCATAGTTGGGCTGGCATTTTAAAACTCCTGCGGCTGCTCCCAGGTTAGGGCTCAGGGATCTAAAAGCAAAGGTGACAGAAGCGGTAAAACATTCTCGTGCAACGAGATGGAAAAAACACAATCTCGGTGTAACGGTGCTTGCTCAGAAGTAAGTACCATTGACTTTAGTAGCATGTTCCTGTGAGTAGAATGATTTCGATAAGATTGCCTTCCGGCTCTTTAGTAAGGGCAACTCCCATCACAACTTACTGTTAGGAGGGGGGTCAGTGGTCCTTGTAGGCGCCCGTTTGCAAGGACAAGGGTCTACTTTGGATAGAGACCTTTGGGTAGTGTGGGCGGGATATAAATTAAATAAATAAATAAATACTTGCACATAAGTCTCCCAGGTTAGGAGGCCGGGTGAGCTGTTGTCAAAGTAGTAGGGCACCTTTACTTTGGATTTCAACCCCCCAAAACCTCCAACCAGCGCGATCAGTAGTAAAGAATTATGGAAATTGTACTCCACCCTGCCAATTCCAGAAGGCCAAATATTACCTCCTCCTACAGTAGTATCTCAAAAACAAACAAAAAAACCACACGTGAGATTCGGGGAAGAATAACTATGAAAGGCTAATCGCTCAACAATCGTGTGCATGATTCCTCCCCCACACCGAATACTGCGTAGACCCGGCTCAAGTTCCCCGTTTTTACAAAACACGTGGACGAACGAGGAGACGTGTTACTTTTCTGCCGCAGAAGCGCTTCTCCGGCTCTTCCTCGCAAAGGCATTCCGTGTGCCCGGCTGCGTCTTACTAGCAACGCGCCTTCTCTCCCCCCCCCCCTTTCAAAGAATAGCGGGTAAGAATAGCTTGTCCTGCCGGACCGATTTGAACTTTGGCCTCCTCTGATTGTTTTGTGTGCCCGATGGCAGCTGTTAGTTGGCTGAGGCGCCTCCCTCTCGTGGGGTTGAGAAGACCCACCCGAAGATTAAACAGAACTCTTTTAGGGCCTTTGTTCCAAGGCGCTCCAAACACAGGCCCTGCTTGGTGTGTGTGTTTTTTTTACCCTTTTCTTGCAGTTTAGTCTCCCCCCTGCACCCGCACCTTGTATTTTTGTCACATGCTTTCGCAATATGAAATGAAAGGATAAAGAAGATTTAACTGTGACAATGTGGCCCAGTCTTCTCTGAGTCCCTCCCTCAGACTCTGTCATGTTTAGCAGAGTTTCAGTGTCACCCAAACTTATTGATGAAAAAGCAGCCAAGCCCGAAACGTCTTAAGCGGCAACCTTGTCTCCATTTTATTTATGAAAATAAAATTACTGAACTAGAACCTAGACTTTTTGCACTTGAAAGCTTTAACTGTTTGGACAGCTTACAATTGTCTCTGGTGAAACATCCTACTGTTTTGTTTTTTTCTCTTTCATGGAGCAAACCTTCCATTTGGCCTGAAAAGCTCATTCATAGTCAGGACATAACCTGTTTGCCGTAGGGTTAGTCATGGGGACTTACCCAGTCATGGAAATGCAGAACTTTCGTCTAATTTTTTCCACTACAGAGTGTGCTTCATAAGTGAGTTTCAAAAAACCCTATAGCACCTTGATGACTGAAAAACAGGCCATTTTCCTAATCATTTCTTGTGTATTTGCCTTAGGCTGAGCACACCTTTGAGCCAAGCATTTTTAGAAAATTCTCAATCTTATGTCCCAGCCGGCTGGCACAGCTAGGCAAAAAGCCCCTCTGGCTATGCAGTGGAAGTGCTCACCAGAGTTGGGGGAACACTTCTTCCTCCGTGGTTGGGGAGCACAACTGTGTTGGGACTTTGCTTTCTTCCTCAGATGGTGGGAGACCTCGGATTAGCCGTGTTCCACATTTCCACAGTGTATTGGGTTTAAAGAGATAAGGCCCATAGTTTGGAACCAAACAGACAACTCTGCTTTCAATATGGCCTTTCTGCAATTCCTGCCCCCCCTCCCCAGTGCAACCACTTCTGCAATATTATTAAAGTTAGCATAAATCCCTGACCAGTTGCCGGTCTATTTCTGCAAAACTTTGACAACCTTGATACTGTCTCCCTTCTTGTTAGGATCATTTCCATTGGCTTTTGTCAACATGAAAAAAAGTTACATAAGATACCCCCTGATATTTCCAGGTTTATCTAGGAGGAGTGATACGTGAAACATCAACATAAAGCTAATAGTTTTACTCAGTGGCATTTCCCCCACCATACTTGTTCCTGGGGAGGAGCGCTAGTGAAATCATCCTGCAATGATTATTTCAGTGACTGTATCCCGAAGTACCAGGACTTTAAAGTTCTGACCATCAACCATGATTGAAAGCTAAAGCAGTCAATCACAAACCTCTTCTCCCCCAGTCTATCCCAGCACCATCCCTGATGGGTGGAAAACTTAACAACTTTAAATTCAACCTGCTTTGAAGAAAGCCAGTTTCATTTCAGACATCTCACAAATCTTTTAGAATCGGCTTGATTCCCTTCAGGATTCTACTCAACCCAATGCACACACTTCTGTTTTAAAGGTCATTTAGCGCATTGCTGCCAAATCTCACTGGCAGACTTTGACAGTGATTTTCAGTGGTTAATTCTAAATTTGAGGGGGGGCGCGAGTGCTGTTTCTATTGCAAATGTAGGCAGTCTTGGTTCTTTGTCTAAACATTTTTGACGTACAGCTCCCATTGATCCAACACAGATTAGTCAATGGTGAGGGATTAGGAGAGTTGCAGCCCAAAATATCTGTAGGGCTGTGATTGTCCATCTGTTGTTAGAGGGGACTCTGTTTGAGCACTCCTTCTTGCTGAAATTAAAACCATGTGTTCTTTTTCAAGGAGACATCAGGTGCGTACTCCTGAACTATCGCAGCGAAGATAGCTGCAGCTTGGAGAGCAGTAGCAGCAGGGAGACAGAGACTGCCCATATCTCAGCCCTTGAGTCCACAGCAGAAGAGACTCTTCTGGACTTGGCAACAAACCGCCCTAAAGGCAGGTCAAAAATCAAGGTACAGATAATAATTGGTCCATGTTTGAAAGGGAAGACCTCAGATGATTACAGGGTGTGTTTCTGTGCTTAAAATTTTGTTGGGCTGGAATCTGAGGGCTTGGTTACATGTGAAGGGAAAACCTATTTTTAAATTGGGTTTAGCATGTTTGAAATAGATTTTTAAAATTCCAGCTACAGGATGCAGAGGGAAGAGCGGTGTGGTTTTTTGGTTGGAAAGCAAGGTATTTTACTCAGCTTCAAGAGACCTGTTTATTTTAAATCACTTGTGAAATCCATTTATTTTGACTTGCTTTGGTATATGTGAATACATCTGTTGGTGTAAATTGTGTCTGTGGGGTTTGTCAAGTAATGGATGCCAGGATCACGGGTTTCAGGCTGCAAAAAAATCTTGCACTCCTATTTGAAAAGAGAGCCAACAGATAGAGAAAGGGTGGGGGAAAATATTCCCTCATTCTCAGGCCTAGAAACTGCCAATGTCGTCAATTTCTCTGGTCACTGACTGGTGTGCCTTCCCTCTTGCCAGTCCCTGCTACCAGTTCTTTTATTCTCTCTCCTTCTCCACCCCCTTCGTTTATGTGTGTATCTGTGCATGTGTGTTGGACTGTCAGGAAAGCTTGCAGTCTGATCTAATTTCTTTCTGTCTTGTGTTATGCCATTTTTAAAAATTAAAAATAACCACACAGCAGCAGTGCCTAGTGACAGCGAGAGGCCACCAGCATGCCACTATTCCTGTGTACTGTGTTATAAAGACCATTTCACACAGAGCCCAAATACGTTTTGTGTTATCCTTTTCTTGACTTTTTCTCATAGGGTCACCAGGAGGATTAAAAGAACACTTCACCAGGGAGACAAAATTATCACTTGGGAGGCAATGCCCTTCCTTATCACCCTTTTGCTACACTCCTTCCCCCTACTCCTGTGGTTTTGGAGGAGACTCAGAGTTTAAGTAGCAGTTCTGAATTGCAGAAAAAGTGGCATAGCAAGATTTTGGAACCTTTTTGTTTTAATGGCAAGAGATTCTGTGTGTGCAACTTCCCTCTCTTGTAGAAGAGATCTGAGCAGGGGAAGGCAGCCTAGGCACTGTGACTATAGGTCTGCCTATGCACTAGAGGAGGCAACAGTAGTATTTCCTGTTAGAATGCAGATGTCTGATGGCAGTGGCTGGAGTTGGAGGTATGGGACCATAAGAGTTCACTTTTAGGTGCCATACTTCCAACTCCAGCTAATGCCATCAGATGGCTGCATTCTAATAGGAAATACTACTGTTGCCTTCTCCAGTGCATAGGCAAATGGGTCTGTAGGATAACAGGTATTTAATGACTGACTATTCAGCCTGACAGAATCCATTAATTTGCGGCTCCTGTGGAACATATGGTTGCATGATGCCTGTTTACTTGGCAGAGTTTGTGTCTAGGGTTGCAAAATCTCAGGATGCCAGCTGAAGTTTCAGGGAATGCTATGCTTCTCTGGTTCCCCAAATAGAGAGAGAGAAGTATCAGAGTGAATATGGCTGGAGGAGGAGAAAGATTCATTTTTATGTTAGAATTCCATTCTCAATTGACATGTTTCACAGGCTCACTGTTTAAGTGATGGTATATTTTGCAAGCCAGTGCCCTATCTGTACTGGGCAATACTGCCACCTGTCCCTCATTGTGTACAGCAGGGGAAGGAACAGGAACCAGCATAGATGGGACTCTGAGGGCAGAGGTACAGGTGGGCCTTCCTTCTTGCCTAGGACCAATCCCATGTAGCAGGAGAAATAAAGCTGTCCATTAACTGTATGACAGCCAAGTGGCTGGTTGAGAAAATCTCATCCATGACTGTATGCTCATCAGCAGAGGAGTAGAATATGTCAAAGGCAATGTGAAATGCTGGTGTTGGGAGCATCAGCTACATCACTTATAACTTCCATCCCATCATGGAGGAGGCTTGGGGTTTCAGAAAGAATGCTGTACCCTCAGCATTCTCAGTCTGATCAGTTTACGAATACAACAAGCTACTTGTATCACAGCTTTAAGATGTCACTCAGCTACTATGTAATAGTAGTGAAAGCTGGATGTCCCAAAAGACCATCAACTGTGGTCATGATGTGAGGATGGTGTGGAACCTCATGTATCAGATGCTGAAGGACCTAGAAGAGCAAGAGAGAATTTTACAGAAGTTGCTGAGGCTTGGGGATTTCATCGTGTAGGGATACTGTCCAGGTTTTCTCATGATACACTTTATCACAGCCCACTGGAAGTTCTTGACACCTTCCAGGGAGCCACTCAAGCCCTTGTCTCCAGCACTGCTCTTCTCTGTTGGGTGATCCCTGTTATCAAGGGTCTAGGGATAAAGAAAACCAAGATCCTAGATGCTGAGGATTCCACAGCACTTCAGTTCACAGGTGTGTGACATGAGCCAGCAACAGTAATTTTCATCTGTTTGGACATTTCCCATCAGGTATGCAAAGCACAGCTCTGTTCTCATGTCTACAGAGGAATAAGCCCCAAAGCAACAGTTTCTAAGGCTGCAAGCCAGAGAGGTCCCTGCAACAGATTCCCATGCTTTAAATAATCTCTTATCTCTACTACTAGGCAAAAATAATAAAAGAAGAAGTTTGAGGGGCTGGACAAACAAGCCATCTCAGCCCAGGAGGTGGACGTTAGGTTGTTCATGTATAATCTAACAAATGTTTGAATCTAGGATTCCAGAAGCAGAGAAAGTATTCCTCCCTCTACTTTCTCCAGACATGGAAAAGAGAGAGGGCATACTTCAAAGATTAGCGAAGTAACATGAGCACTGGCATGGCCTTTCTTCAGGCAATGCAGGCATTGTATGGGGTCCCTGAGCTTGCTTGAAAGTGTATAAAGTAAATCACAAAGGCAGAAGGCCGGAGCCTCCCCTGTCCCCACAGCTTTCCACTTCAGCTTTGTGATCTGGTCTGACCCATGAACAAGGCAGGGAACATTAAGATGAAAATATTTTTCCCCTAATGCTGTGATTTGTTATGTAACCAATTCAGGTACTTCACTCTTTCCGTTGTTCAAGAAAACTTGGTGGTATTTGTTGAAGTGCATGGATTTAAGGTGAACTACAAGAAGCCTGAAATGAATGAATTTCTGTTAGTTAATGTTTCATTATGAGAGAAGGAACTCTTTTCCAAATGTTATGGATATAGGCAGGTCACAGGGAAATGTTGTCTGTTACTGTCAGCTACTCATGAGGATTGGTATGAAAAATTAATGACAGATTGTTTCCTAAAAGTAAGGCACACTTGCAGATATGGAGCTGTACATACTTAAATTGGTTCATTGCACTTCAGTGTGATAAAAAGAGACGACACACCCAAGTTTTCTTTTTATTTCAATCTGTTCCCATAAAGTCTCGTACAGTCTCAGATTAAAGCCTGTCTGAAAACCTTGGGTGAAAATTCATGGGAGGTTGGAAGGGTAGGTGAGGATAAGGATGGCAGGAAAGACGCTCCAAAAGCCAACACTGAAAGGAGATCAGTGCCAGGATATGCCAGGTCCAAAGAGCAGGTAGTGGGCCTTGCTCCTCAAAGCATCAACAAGCTGAACAAACCAAGACTCAGTCATCAGAAATAGACCAGTGGCTGCTCAGTCATCTGACCAGAATCTGTTCTGAGGTCCAAGTCAGAAAGAATGCCAGGGATCCTTATCAGCCAGGTGTCACCCAACCCTCTTACACTGGGCTTCTACATCCATAAATCTACAGGGCCATCAACCCATGATCACCTGACATAGCTCCATAGGGCTAAAAGGAAGGATTTCTTCACTGCCTTGGAATCGGCCATAGATTATAGGTTTTAATCTGTATTTGATTAGAGCTGGCTAAAGGTTTTGTCCACTTTTCCTTTAGTTGTCTGCCCAGAAGCTCCATTGCTACTTAGGATTGATAAAATAATGGCATAAAACTGGAAAAAATCTCTTCGGAATGCCTAAAAAATGCTTCAATATGCCCTTAAAATAACCTTAGAACATTATTAAGAAATTTTACATGATACTTAAAAAGTATGTGGAAACTGAGTGGTGGCAACTGGTCTTCTTTCTTCTTAGGTTGAAATGTTTCACTACTCATCCAAGTAGCTTCTTCAGACAGAGGAGAGGAGGTGGGAGATCCCTGATATATCCTCCACCTTGGTTTCACTTCCCCCTGGTCTGAATAGGCTCATTAGATGGACAAAGGACCAGGGGTGAGTGAAAATCCCACTTCTGCAGTCCTTCTCCACCCATTGTCATGGGTTGTTAACAGTTGTTAACACTGGTCTTTCTGGTGTGTGTGGTCCTGATCCTTCTGGGGATGGATGAAAGGGCAGCATGATAAATACAAGGGGGTGCTGATATTGAGCCTTTCTCAGAAAACATTGAGCTAGGAAGCTATAGATTGCAGCGTGTATTGGCCAATTGGTCTGTATTCAGTGGTGCAAAAATCGACTACGGAACTATCTTTCATGTTCAGGTCCAAACTGAACATGGCAGCACCTCCAGAAAAGTTCAGTGTGGAAGAGCATAGGACCATAATCAAGTTCCTGTTTCTCCAAGGGAAAGGTGCAAAGCAGATCCATGATGAAATGTCACAAACTATGGGTGACAGTGGCCCATCATATGCAACAGTTCAACGTTGGGTTGTCAATTTTTAAACTGGCCATTTCGGTGTTGAAAGTGAGAAACCCAGTGGAAGGCCTGTTTCTGTCTCTGTGCCTGCAAATGTAAAAGCCATCCATGACATGATCATGGAGGACCGCCGAATACCAGCCAAAAGTATTGCTATATATCTGAGAATATCACGTGAGAGAGTTGGTGCCATTATCCACAAAAACTTGGAAATGAGAAAGCTGGCAGCAAACTGGATCCCCAAACTTTTGACAACCGAACAAAAGAGAAAACATGTGGAGTCATTGGTGGCTCTTTTAGAACATTTTGCAAGAAATGAGTCAGATTTCCTAGGCAAACTGGTAACTGGTGATGAGACACGGATCTACTGTTATGATCCTGAGACAAAGGAACTGTCTAAGGAATTGAGGCATAGTGGTTCCCCCAGACCAAGGAAGTTCCGAGTGCAAAGGTCAGCGCAGAAGCAAATGGCAAAAGTTTTTTGGGGTAAGAAGGGAGTTCTGATGGACTACCTCCAACAGGGTTCAACCATCAATGCAAAATATTACTGTGCTATATTGACGAACTTGAGGCAAAACATCAAAGAAAAATGTCGAGGAAAGCTCTCCAAAGATATCATCCTGTTGCATGACAACACCTTGTCACGCACTCCAGGTGAAACAATGACAAAACTGACCTCCTTAGGCTTTCAAGTGATGCCCCATCCACCCTATTCTCCCGACCTGGCTCCTTCTGTTCCCCAAACTCAAAAAACACCTAAACCAACAACAATTTGGGAGTGTTATGGAGGCAACTAATGCTGCAAATGAGTGGTTACACCAGCAGTCAGATGAATTTTCTTTCCAGGGGCTTAAGAAGCTGCAGGACAGATGTCATAAGTGCATTGATGTCCTGGGGAAACATGTAGAATAGTGTGCCAGCTACAGCTTCCTAGCTCAAATTTTTCTGGGAAAGGTTCAATACTTATCAGCACCCCCTCATAGGATATGGATTGTATCTAAGGCCTCAACCCCTATTGAGTGAGGGATATGGGTGGAGAAGGACTGCAGAAGTGGGATTTTCACTCACCACCATTCCATTGTCAATCTAATGAGCCTATTCAGATCAGAGGGGAGTGAAACCATATATCAGGGATCTCCTACCAACTCTCATCAGACTGAAGAAGCTACTTGGATGGGTAGCAGAATGTTTCAACCTGATAAGAAAGAAGTCCAGTAGACATGACTCAGCTTCTAGATAACCTCACCTGGATGACTGAGAATCTTCACAATTATAATACTTCAAATGATTTCTTGGTGTATGGTTTTAGAAATGTAACTTCTTATCTTTGTGTAATCCATCTAATAGTTCCCTTCCAACTGCTGTTTGAGCTTGTGTGTTTGCTATTCTGTTCATCTATCCCATGTTAGAGTCCCACCCCATGATCTTTGTTACGTCCCTTCCATCCTTCCTTTTGTGGTTTGCAGGCACAGCTCAACCATCACCAGCCCTTCTCTCTCTCCTCTGTATCTGTCCCATCACATGCCCTGGACAGGCACAGAGCCACTATCCCTCTTCAGACAGTGGGGTTCTTTAAAGAAAAAAGAAAAAGAAAAAGAAGCAGGGAAGGCATAAGCACCTGAGGCTCAAATGTTCTAACAGGAAGGTTTGGTTTGACACAAACGAATTAGACCTGGATTAACAATGAGAGCTGGTAGACTATTCCTTCCCCAGGCAGATAGAACTGAAAAATATGGTGCCAAAACTCAAAGCAGTAGAGTGTGGATATAAAAAGTAGTGAGTTATGCACATCCCTGATGATGTTTCAAGAAATAGGTATAATCTTTTTCACCTCCAGGAGTCCAACAGACAAGATATATAACAGGATCCAAACGCAGGTGGCCACAGTGAAGTAATATTGATTGAGCTCTCCAGACCCATTGGAAATCATTGTTGCTTCAAAGGAAAACCACCCTGAACCAAATGTGAATTAGGGTATAACCAGATAGGCATTTAGCCTCCTGTTTGATCTACTGTGGGGATGGTTTGGTTTGCTCCATTTTCTACACAATGTAGTCACAGGAATGCTGGAGCATTCGTCCCTTTCTGCATGCAGCTATGTTAGCGGCAGGGAGTGAGCTAGTGTGGACCAGTTTGGAACCATCAGGCTTGATTAGAGTGCACAAATCAAGCTGGATGGTTCACACAGAAACTGCCTGCAGCTGAAGCCACTGCCATGGATTTGACTACAGGGAATTGCTCTACTGCCCTTTAAGAGCCAAATAAACATTTTAATTATTTTTTTTAAAAGCTGATGTAGCGCACCAGCGATAGTTAATTGTACAGTCTTAAGCTACTTCACAATATTGGCAAAACTGGAAGGCTTGCTTTGGATTGGTTCCAGTGATCACACATGTTGGAACCAATCCAAACCACAGCAATCCTACCTGCACCGGAAACAGAAGAAGCCTTCAACAGGGGCGCAGAAGTATGTGACTGCTTGGGGACAGACTGGTTTACTCCAACAAAGACATCATCAGATCAACATCTTTAAAAGTGAACCAGCGTGTTCCTGCAATGGACCAAACAGCGAGTTAAACACTCACATAGTCAGGCTCTCTAAACTCCTGTCAGGGGCTTCTGCTTTTTTGGTGAGGGTAGGATCACTCTGGGTTGGTTAATTTCCAGCAGGTACAATTGCCGGGAATGGAGCAAAAGTGACCCTTCATGCTGTAAAGGCTCATTCCAGATGGAACATCTGATATTATGAAGTGGCTTAATAAGTGAGCCACTTCAGGATGTCACCAAATTGAACACTTTCTCTCCTCAGCCCTTTCTCTCCTTTGCACCTCCTCAGTAGAGGGGCAAAGGAAGTGATTTTTTTAAAGACTGCAGTAGATCATCACTAGTGCACTGCATCAGTTATTTCAAAATTGTAATAAAATTGTCTGAATGAGTCTAATGGATTCAGAGCATCAGAGATGGGGTACTGCAGTCTATTTTTACCCCACTTCTTCTGTCCTTCCACTAAATCGGGATTTCCTGAAGTGGCTCACTTGCTAAGCCACTTCCCAATATCAGAAATTCCAGTTGGAAGGAGCTGGGCCAAATAGTATTGCTTGCTTCAGTATGCCATTAGGATGCAAGGATAGCATCAAATGGCATATTATAGCTCCACCGACCCCAAGCAACCCTACTTAACCCACACTAGCCCACTCTAAAAAGAGCCCTTCTGACTGAATCCTTAGTTGCAACCAATGTTCCCTCTAAGCCAGTGGTCAACCTTGGGCCTCCAGATGTTCTTGGACTTCACTTCCCAGAAATCCTGGCCAGCAGACGTGGTGGTAAAGGCTTCCGGGAGTTGTAGTCCAAGAACATCCGGAGGCCCAAGGTTGGGGACCGTTGCTCTAAGCCACACAGGGGTGTGGCCGCACAGCCCTGTAGGTGTGCAACCATGCCAATGTTGTCACCCACTTGCTTCTGGTCATGTCTCAAAACATGTGTACATGAGGCAGGGCCCCTCTCAGCACTCTGGAAAAGTAGAGGGAATGTTGATTGTAATTAATACAATAACCTAAAGCAAACAAACATAGATCCTCAAACGTTTTGCTTAGGGGGTGTCAGACAGAGCCCCTGTGCTCCGATACAGTTCCTTCTTTCTTATTTTATTTATACTGTATATTGCATTTCTCCTAATTATGGTACCCAAGGCAGTTTATAAAATATTATGGAAATACTACAGGGAATAAAAACCCAAGTTGATGATGTCATAATTACAATTCCAAATGTCAGAACCCTTTTTAATTAGGTGTAATGTAGAGCATTAAGAGCATTCTTTTAGATACTGTCTTCAGAAGCCAGAGTCACTAGGAGCTAATCAATTGCAAGGTGAAATTAAGCAGCAGCCAGAATTTTAATGGTCCATGTTGTCACCCTTTTCTGCTTTTAATTACTTCCCAGCCATCTGTGTGGGTGAAAATTCTTCCTAAGGGTATTTTGGTCCCACATGGTTTCTTCACCTTCTCGGGGAAGACTTTTATTTGATAGAGTAGCTTTAACTTCCTTCAGGAAATTAAAATATTCTGACTGATCCTCAGATTGGATTGCTAACTTTTGCTGATGGACCCTTGCAATATTGAATGTCTTTGAACTGCAACAACTTTGTAAATTCTTAGTAAGCCTTCCACCTTTGTAGCATAATTGTCATGAGATCTTTGCAAAACTGAATCTCCTTGACAGGCTAGGGGGCCATCATTCTGCAAAGCTAGCATAATGACAGTTTTAGTTTCTTGCACACATTTCATTAGAATACCTGGGAATTTACCTGTAGGTTGATACTATTCTGCCAATAGGCAGGATGTCTCCTGCTAGTTTAATGTTATCAGATTATTTACTGAATAGATCCATCAACCACTCAATCATATTAACCATTTATCTGTGCAGGCTTCCCACCTGCACAGATAAATGGTGCCCCATCCCATGTTTTCCAGGATTTCCAGCCTAAATTGACGCTGCCAGGTATGGCAGGATAAATGCATTGTTCCTTGGTGACTTCTACTGTTTGACACATGAGCTATGTCCATTCTTCTTTTGAGATTTTCTCCAAGGGGATTTATCAGCTCCCACCATTCTTGCTGCATTGCTCGAAGTTAAAGATGGTGTTTCTTCAATTTCATCTGATTCTTTGAGAACTTCTTTTGTAATGTCCTGATTTAAATGCTTACATCTTGCTTCTATTGAGTCTTTGGGGTGTTCCTAAATTCAGATGTTTTACTGTTTCAGAGATTGTGTCTCATTTGCATTCATTAGGTGCTTATGTTCAGTGACATTTTAAGGGAGATCAAGCTGGAATGACATTAATTCTAAAATGCCCACTTTTGTTTCTTCCTGAAATTAAAATGCAAGCAGCATGAGATAAGCACAGTTTTTTTACATGGCTAATGACACTCTAAGAAGCTCTCAGAAGTGATAAATAAACATTGTTGTTATCTGCAAGCCTAATAGCACTCCAGGAAGCCTCACTGAAGGTCTGTAAACAAGGTGCATGGGTTTGTTGCTGGGGGGGNACGAAGGAGAGACCATTCTAATAAAATATTGCCATCAAGCCCCTCTGGCAACATGTTACTGCACTCATTGTTTGCAAGTTGTAGATAACACGAATGATTAACATGCTGCTAACAAAATTTAACTAGCAATATTATCAATGTTATTAGTTTAATTAGCATTTTCAAATTCTAGTTCGTAATGTCCAAGTGTTCTAAGTGTTCTTTCATTCTGTGATTTTAAAATCCTGTTTTCTTTCTCTCCTTAGTTCACCACTGGCACCTGTAGTGATGCCTTGATGCACAGTTGTGAGTTATGTGGCAAAGAATTTAACTTTCAGCGCATGCTCAACCGCCACATAAAATGTCACAGCCAGGTGAAGAGACACTTGTGTACATTTTGTGGGAAAGGATTCAATGACACTTTTGATCTGAAAAGACATGTAAGGACACATACAGGTAAGAGCAAATCTTGAGTTTATTTTTTTCTTTATTTGATTTTTACCCCGCCCCTCTAGACCATGTCTATTTCTTGCCAAGAAATATGATGGGCCTTCTATTAATCACATTCTGTTCTATTCCACAATCAAGAAGAATAGCCCATTTCCTTTATTTACTGCTCCATTTGTTTGGAACTATTTCTTCTGCAGAAACTAGGATGTGAGCAGGGAAAAACAGCTCCCTTGTTTATGGTAGAAACATGAACATTCTGCAGATAGCCCAAATTCAGCATTACAGAATTATTGCTATCCCTCCTGAAGAGATGCTTTCTACTTTGATATTTTTATTTTTATCTGTATTAAAGTATTCATGCATCTTCTCTAGGTTTTATATTTCTCTTCATTGTTGGACCCATTTTTCTTCGCTAGTCTTGTTTCAGATGTTCTTGTATTTACAGATTTTTCGGAGACCTTCAGATAACTGATTCCCCCGTTTCTTTCAAAAAGGTTAAGAACCACTGGTCTAAGGCAGTAGTTCCCAATCTTAGGTAACCCAGGTGTTCTTGGACTGCAACTCTCAGCACAGCTGGTGGTGAAGGCTTCTGGGAACTGCAGTCCAAAAACACCTGGGTGACCCAAGATTGGGAACCCATTAGCCTAGAGAATAGTGCATGAGATATCACAAACCTCCTCTCCCCTCCCTGCTCAGCTGGCTCCTAGAAGTGGATGAAACAAAATTCTTTTTTTCCCTCCTAATGCACAGTCTATATACAGTATATCTGTAGGATTTTAAAGATTTAATGTTATTTTTCTTTACCAATACACAATTCTGCATTGCAGGCATTCGTCCATATAAATGCGAGATATGCAACAAAGCCTTTACCCAGCGTTGTTCACTGGAATCACACCTTAAAAAGATCCATGGGGTGCAGCAACAGTATGCTTACAAGCAACGGAGAGATAAACTATATGTATGTGAAGACTGTGGTTACACAGGCCCAACACAGGAGGACTTGTATGTGCACATCAGCCATATTCATCCTGGAAGTGCTTTTCTGAAGAAGACATCGAAAAAATTAGCAGCTGTTTTGCAAAATAAATTGACCTCCTCAATGGAGATAAGCCCAAAAGAGAACGGTGAAGAGCAGTAATATTGTACTGTCCCAACGTGCATGAATTCAAACTCAGCAGGTCACATTTACAGAATTTTCAGGATTTAGCAGTCTTCTTTATAGAAGAGGGAAAAATAAAATTGCAAATATAGAGACTACACTCTGCTTCGACTGGAAGCTTTTGCTATCCTTGCCTTGATACCAGTCTGCTGAACAGGATTCATTTACCCACTGACCCATCAGGCCTGTCCCTGCCCTTGACACTAGGTTGTGCCAGCTCAGTGAGTTAGGTATCTGGCTGGAAAGCCAGAGGTTGGGAGTTAGATTCACCAATGTACATTCCAGAAGAAGAGCACGTGTATAGCCTTGAGCAAGCTGCACAGTCTCAGGGCACCCCAAGAAGAAGGGGACTGATAAACCACTTTGGAATGCTCTATAGTTAGAAAATTGTGGAAAGGGTTGCCTTAAGTCAGAATTCACTTGATGGTATGTAATTATTAATTGTACTGTAAACAGGATCCACTCAATGATCTGCCAAACACCACTCATTAACTACTATAATTCTCAACCTCAGGAGACCTGGCAACTCTGATCAGTTTTAAAAGGACACTAGTGTTTAGACCAGTTCTCTGCACTGACTTAGCTATGTATCTACCGAATTTCTGAATATGAATAAAAGCTCCCTAATATAGATTAACACAGTACAGAGCACAGGGTCTGAATTTTGCTGATTCTTATGTGCCTTTGACAAAAAAATACATTACTGTATGTCTATAAAGTGTTTTGCAAAATAATTTTATTCAATCTGAATGCAAATAATGGGAAACGAATTAAAGTATCTTTGTAAAAAAACACTAACTCTGTTTTGTAATATCCTGGGGATATTACCCCCCAACATACTCTGATAAAGAAAAAATTATGAATAAAACCGCAGCATGTTTTATGTACAAAGCATTATTTAACACTCTTAATCAAGACTACACACACATTTTTTCATGGACTTTAAAATAGAGCAAAGTCTTATGGAAAGGTATTCAGTGATTGCAATGTAATATTTTTTTATATTATAGATTCATCTACCATTTTGAGGGCATTTTTATACCCTTAAAATTGCATTCGAACTGTTAGTATCATGTCCATCATGCCTTTGTAATTTTTAGTTTAATTCTGGGATGGAGAACATATGGCACTCCAGGTACTGTTCATGCTTGCAAAGCTCATCATTCTGCACCATTTGCTTACCATGAATGTGTACTATGAAGTAACATGAAAGGTAGCATGTAAAGCACTACTAGCAGTGTCCTAAGCACCATTCTCTTTAAACGTTCAGATAATACCAGTACAGTTCAAAGAGCTTTATTTCAGATACTGAATTGCAGCCTATTTTGCAACTTTGTTTCCCAACACTGGAAACAGATGCATTGCTGAAAAAGATATTTAAACTTCAATGAAGAGATACATAGAGAATGTAATAAATAAAAAGTAATAACATATTTTATTTTAATATTTAATTTACACCTTTGTAAACAAAGGTGTAAATTAGGCTGTGGTTCAAAAGTGCAAAATAGAACAGAATCTTGAAAATTCATACCGACTTCATTCCATTACCAAGGAATTATTTTTCAACATAATATGATAGGATATTTTGTATTCTCCTCCTTTCAAAAGTTTGGCTAGAATCCTATTACTCATTGTGTAAGATCTGCATAACTTGCTGTGTTATGTGCTGGACACATGTCAAACTGCATATAAATATACTGGCATTCCATGGAGTTATACAAGGGCTCATCTCATTTGTGTAATTAGTTGTGTGACCAGGTGCGTGATCAAGATGCATCCTGACACCTCTTCTGTTAGTCATGGTACATTACACAATCCTTATGCAAACATCAGTAGGGTTCTGATCACTGTGTGGGAACTAGACTAAAATTTAAGTATGAAGTCTTCTATGCTGAACGGGTATATCAAGTTTCAAGATAAATATATCAACATTCAAGATAATTATATTAAAAAAACAAGCTAATGAAGCCTAAGATTCTACTTCCTTTGAACAATTCTGGATTTCTGTCTCCAGCACAAGACACACAATTACAATATACTGGCAAGTGCAGTCTCTTGGATTGATCCCTTGCTTTACCCACTCATCCAAAAGTCACTCTCATATTCACATCCCAAATACTAAATACTTATCCGAGGCCTCCCTCTCTTAACCCACCACACTGTCTAACCACTAGATCCAAAAGAACATCTGTACTTCCACCAGGTGGATGTGGTAAAAGAGGCAATAGCAGCACATCGGAGGAGCTGGGGGGGGCTTGTTTTCTTTCAGCATGAAGACCACATCCAGGATCCAACTGAGCAGAATCGCTTTAGGCTCTCTTGTCTGCAAATAAAGCTCCACCACTTCCCCACTAAAGAAACCCACCACAAAGGACATTCCCAGCATAAGTGATCAGTTAATTTCACAATCAGAGAATCAGTCAGGTAGGGACTCCGAATTTCAAGGATATGTTTGTGAGACAGGAGGCGAGAGGGATATCCCACTCGCCGGAGAGCCGTCCCTCCTCCAAACTGAATAGAAGGAAATACAGACACAATCTACTCCAGTGTCCCCAAAGACAGAGCAGCGAGGGAAAGAAACGGGCTAGGAAAAGAGATACAAAGAATGACACTAGGAGGGAGTCAAGGAGAATCGGAGGGAAAAGAGAGGAAGAAGAGGGTGGAGTTTGAGGTGGGGACAGCAGAGATAAAAAGGAAAAGATAGGAAGAGCAGTTACCACCAGGCTGGGAATGGGTATGGATGGAGGATCCCTGGACTGGGGCATGGGAGAGATTAAGAGCGCCCAAGGAAGAGGCAGATTGTCAGAAATAGAAAAGCAATCGGATCATGTTATAGACACGTGTTATTTATTGAATACCCCAATAAATATTACACGTAGTTCAAAACTGAAGTCTGTCAAGTTTATTGAAATGAAAATGGAGTCAAAGATCGAATCCTCACAATGTTTCATAAAGTTTCACAGTCCTTCCTCTTTTTTTCTTGATATTCTTCCAATCGACGTAGCCACTTGTTCCAGTACTGCGAGCAGAGCTCAGAGTCCATATAATGCGCATGTGCAGGGGAGCCATCTTTATAGGCAATCACCAGAAGTCCACAGTCAACCTGAGAAGCAAAACAAGTCAGAAGAGACGTGTCATGCAGCTGTTCTCTATGGCTGGAAAAGTGAAATACAGTGGTGCCTCGCATAACGTTTGCTTCGTTTAACGTTTTTTTCGCTTAACGTTTATTTTTTCAGAGTCAGATTGTGCTTCGTATAACGTTTTTCCCTATGGGCGATTTTCACATAGCGATTTTGGGACCATGCTTCGCTTAACGTTTTTATCAAAGATAAGGAAACAAGACCCCAGCCAACATTAGCACTCACAAAGACGGAGCAGCAAGGGACAGAAACAGAGGAGCAGGGAAAGGAAATGCAAAGAATAATGTTGGGGAGGGGGGTTCAGGAAGAAAAGGCGGGAAAGGAGAGGAAGAAGAGGGGGGGGTTTGAGGCAGGAACAGCAGAGATAAAAAGGAAGGAAGAGCAGTTACCACCAGGCTAGGAATGGGTATGGATGGAGGATCCCTGGACTGGGGCATGGGAGAGATTAAGAGCGCCCAAGGAAGAGGCAGATTGTCAGAAATAGAAAAGCAATTGGATCATGTTATGGACACGTGTTATTTATTGAATACCCCAATAAATATTACACATAGTTCAAAACTGAAGTCTGTCGAGTTTATTGAAACGAAAATGGAGTCAAAGATCGAACCCTCACAATGTTTCATAAAGTTTCACAGTCCTTCCTCTTTTTTTCTTGATATTCTTCCAATCGACGTAGCCACTTGTTCCAGTACTGCGAGCAGAGCTCAGAGTCCATATAATGCGCATGTGCAGGGGAGCCATCTTTATAGGCAATCACCAGAAGTCCACAGTCAACCTGAGAAGCAAAACAAGTCAGAAGAGACGTGTCATGCAGCTATTCTCTATGGCTGGAAAATACTCGCCAAATGGTGGAATAACTATGAATGGACTGTCTTCGCTCCATATACCCCCCCATTTATTCTTCACCTTAAAATGTCCAGACTCAGTGAGTCTTTGGCCATTCCTGCAGTATGAAATGATTGATGGTGTGAGTTCGTTTTAATGGTGTCTGTCATCACAAAGACACTACTGATGTTTCCAATAAGCAGGATTTTGCAGGGTGGGGTGAGATCTTTCTATCAGCTTCAGGATTTTGTAAAAAAAAAAAAACCCACTGTCTTCAACACCCTCACCCCATGAAACTTACGTTTTATGACCTGCTTCCCCTCAACGCCTTCTCTTTAATTGCTAGCCATGAAATTCAAACCATCATCTAAAGTTTAGATTCTAAACCATGGCTTGGAGATCATAAGCTACATTTTCAGAACAATAAATACTGTAAAGCTACTTCAAACCATAGTCTTTGATTCTGATTTGGAAATGAAAGATTAAACATAGCATTTACTGATCTGAACACCATACTGAACGGGGAATTGTAAGCAGAAAGCAGCCATGACAGAGGAGAACCTAAACACACATTTTCTGTTCCACATCCCAGTGAGGAAACTGGATATGTTCCCTGTAAAACATGATTAAAGCTCCCCTAAATGCTTGGCCATCTTTTCCCTATCTTTCATTGACCAAAAAAAACCCTGATGTGGGTATTGTTTTCCCAGGAAACTTGAGAAGCCTCTATTTTTAACGTTTCTTCTTCCTCAATAAACAATAAACAGGACCATAACAGCATATTTGGCATGCCACTGATGAATATTCAGTAGTTAGTTGTGCTGCAGACACTGATTTCAAGGCTTCTGGAGTTGCTACATTGTTTTATTTCTTTTTTTTTCTTTTCACCTTTGCCTATGGAAAGAAACAGATTTAGACTAAACTGTATAGAGTTAGGCTGGCATTTGTTGGCTGCTGATGTAGTAAAGACCACTGGAGCAGATTCAGTCAGAATATCACAGGACACAGATCTAGATCCAGCTGGATGAATGGAAACAAGAGGCAGCAGGTGGAAACATTGTATCTGAATTGAGATTCAACCCATCACCTAACTGTCTTACTGACCTGGAAATTGTAATTACTGTCATGATTAATAGCTCCTATGTAAGCTGCAATCTGCAGTGGATTGTCAAATGTATTCTGGAGCAAAGGCTTTGATTTCCCTGAAGTCTTCCAGTCAATTGCACACAACGTTCCCCTGTGTGATCAAATACAAAAAGAGTATTAAGTTACACATAGCTAAGCAAAAACAAACAAACCAAATCTAATTGTTGACCCTCCTTACTGAGAGTGTGAAGCCTTATCTGATACTACACTAGGCTCAACACCCACTGCAACTGGAGAACAAGTTCCCCACTCTCTCCTCTGGTTCCAGGCAAGGTAAGAGAGCATTTCCTTGGTGGCACTGCATCCAGGTGCCTGAAAAGCAGCAATATGTCCTATTGGCTGTTGTGGGTTTTTTGGGCTCTTTGGCCGTGTTCTGAAGGTTGTTCTTCCTAATGTTTCACCAGTCTCTGTGGCCGGCATCTTCAGAGGAAAGCACACAGAGCACAGAGTGCTGTCCTCTGAAGATGCCGGCCACAGAGACTGGCAAAACGTTATGAAGAACAACGACCTTCAGAACACGGCCAAAGAGCCCGAAAAACCCACAACAACCATTAGATCCCGGCCGTGAAAGCCTTCGCGAATACAAGATGTCCTACTGTATTGCTTTCTAAGAGTTTCTACAATCAGCACAAGATCAGGGAGAGCTCATAGGCAGAACAGGCATGAGGACACACTGTTATTATGTACTGGTCAAAACATCACCACCTGTCACTATACGTTCAGCACTACAGAGAGCACAGAGGTTAAAACAGCCCTACATTCTAGAGCAGTAATTCCAAACCTTGGGTCCCCAGATGTCATTGGACTACAACTCCCAGAAATCCTGGCCAGCACAGCTAGTGATGAAGGCTTTTGGGAGTTTTAGTGCCAGAACATCTCGGGACCCAAGTGTGGGAACCACCGCTCTAAAGCTTTCTCACTGCAAAACAATGCACTTGCCCCTTGCAAGCCACAAGCAAGAGGACCAGCAGGCCAGCCCTCTTTGTCCATGAGCTTTGCACTAGACTAGATAACTACCAGAAGATTAGTGGTAGTGGTTTTACACAATCACTCTGCCTCTCACTCATGTGTATGTATCCATGTGTGCGTACATGTACCACCAGATATTAAGATACCTTTCTAAAAAGTATTGAAATGTATACAGTGTAGCTAATGTACAACATCTCAACAAAATGAGGAAAATTAGCTATTTCAAAATGGGGAGAAACTGCTCAAAAAAACATTTATTTGTTACCCACTTTTCTAATAAAGGTGGCTTACAACATACCTAGAGGAGAAATATATCTAAAAGTGCAATAAAATAAACTATCAGAAAGCCATTGAATATACTATATTACAGTATAACCAAAGATAAGCTGCATTTAAAAGAATTTAAAAGCATATTTGAAAAGATAAATACAGTATCTCCCATTAAGTTCCTTCCTTAGCAGTCAGCCAGTTGCTGAATGTCTACCTGAACAATAAGTTCTTTGCCTGCTAGTAGAAGGACAACAGGGTTGGGGCCAACCTGGCTTCTACTGGAAGGGATTTGCATAGCCTGAGAATAGCCACTGAAAAAGCCTTCTCTTATGTCCTTGCAAGGTGTGCCTGTGAAGATGGTGGATCCAAGAGAGAGTCTTCCTTGAGGATCTTAAAACACGGGCAGGCTACTGCTTTAGGGAAATAGGAACCCTTCAGACTGCCTGAAGCCAAATTTACTATTTTGATTTCTGCCTGGAAACAGGCTGATAGTCTGGAGAGCTGTTCTATCAAAGTATTTCTGTTCTTGCTCTAACTGGCTCTGGTCAACAGCCTGACTCTAACACGCTGGGCTTACTGGAGACTCTGAATGCTTTCCAAGGGCAGCTCAATATAACGCACGTGACAGTGACCTAAACAGGCTATAGCAAAAAATTGTGCTTCTGCGGTCAAATCAGGCTTCTCAAGGAATGGGCACAGCTTGCACACTAGTCTTAACTGTACAAATGGACTTCTGGCCATGACAGGAACTTGGGGTTCAGGGCTAAATCCAGGAGTCCACTCAAGTTGCCAGAACAAGTTGAATTCCTGTTTCCTGAGCTGTCTTGGAGTTAGCTTGGAATACTTCTATCATGACTCAATTAAGATTCAATTCGTTCACCTTTATCCAGTCCATTAATGATGCCAGGCACTGGTTTAAAGCTTGAACAGCTTCCTCCAATTTGGACGGAAAGGAGAAATAGAACTGGGTACCAATCCCACCCAGCAACGTCATGGGTACGTTAAATAAAATCAGGACAGAAGAGAGCCCTGAGGAAGGACCCCAGAAGAAAATGGCCAAGGTGTCAAACACAGGTCCCCTAGCACCACCTTCTCTAAAGAATAATTTATATGATGTTTATTTTAAAGAATTATTTTAGAGAGTAGAATAATGTTTAATTAAAATACCAATAAAGCTGACAGGAAAAAAATGATTTGTTTAAAATGTGGTGCTGGAGGAGAGCTTTGCCCTGGACTGCCAGAAAGATGAACTAGTGTGTCCTAGATTAAATCAAACCTGAACAATCTCTGGATGCAAGAAGGTTGGAAACCGGTGCTGTCCTATCTTGGGCACTCTAGCGTTCACCCTTATGTTAAGTAGTTATGCATATTCATGTTGCAGGCTAATGTTGCTGAGAGGCGGAGCCAAGAGATATGTAAAAAGAGTCAGAGTCAGAGAGGGAGTCAGTCAGTGAATCGGAGTCAAGAGGGAGATGAGAGTGGAGAGTGAGTGTGGTATTTGAGAGATCTGAGGTGTGATTAGTGAGAAGAGTGAATAAAAACTATTATAACAAATAGAAGATTATATTGATGATAAATAAACCTGTAGAAGTGACTTCAGATTAATTATCTAACATCTGTAATCAATAAACTTGTTTTATTTAAAAGACAGTGAGGTCTGGACCTTCATCTTCATCCTTCCATAAGTAAAGTATGTTGATTTAGTGATCAACTGGTGGCAGCGGGTAAAGAGGAGTATTGGTTTGCCTTCGTGTGCTCTGTGTTTGGGGAGTCAGGCTGGGGCCACGAGGAGCGAACGCCACAAGCACATCATGAGAAAGCAGGGTTCTCTGGAAAAGACAATAATGCTGGGAAAGGTGGAAGGCTAAACATGAGATGAACTGACTCTGTAAAGGAACGCACAGGTTTAGTTACCGAGGGCTTTAGCTGTGCTGTTTAGGACAGGACATTTTGGAGATTATGCATTCATATGGCTGCCGTAAGTCAGAAGCTAATTGATAGCACATAAGAACAAACAAAATATCAAGTTCCATGAGATGGACTGGCTCTGTAAAGGAACGCACAGGTTTATTTACCGAGGGCTTTAGCTGTGCTGTTGAGGACAGGACATTTTGGAGATTAGGCATTCATATGGCTGCCATAAGTCAGAAGCTAATTGATCGCACATAAGAACAAACAAAATATCAAGTTCCCACAGTTTTCAGTAAGAATAACAAAAAGGGGGAAAGAGATAAGTGGGGACTGGCTCTGTAAAGGAACGCACAGGTTTATTTACCGAGGGCTTTAGCTGTGCTGTTGAGGACAGGACATTTTGGAGATTAGGCATTCATATGGCTGCCATAAGTCAGAAGCTAATTGATCGCACATAAGAACAAACAAAATATCAAGTTCCCACAGTTTTCAGTAAGAATAACAAAAAGGGGGAAAGAGATAAGTGGGAAATTAGTTTTGTCAGGTAAAGAATGAACACTAGGGAAGTGATGTGTCAGGAGTTCAGCTGAGGACAACACAATGTGTGTAGGAGAAATTGTAGACAGAGACAGAAATAGGGTCAAAGGGAATACATTTATCTCATCTCAGAATAAAACACACTCCTTTCCTGTTTGGTAACAAATGTATCCGAATTCATAATCAACACAGGCTGGATTATGCACACATAACATAAATTTAACCTCTTACCGATATTCTGCCACACAGTCCACCAGGCCTTGATAATGAAGGGTCTCGTGCTGAACTGCGCTTTCCAGGGCTCTCACTCCAGAGACATCACGTAATACATGTTTTATACTTGTTATGAAACCAGAGACATTGGTTTCTTCTTCCTGCTTCTCTGGAGAGTTGTGATCGGCTAAAAGTAAGTTTTCTACAGCTGCATGAAAGAGTTTACCTTGTTGAAACATACCTGTAAAACAAGAGGGAATTTAACATAGGACTAAATAAAATTATGGCTGAATTTGCAGTCAGTGATCACACAGGGGCTGTAGATTTATTTGGGGGTTCACACAGTGATGCGATTTTCATGTTGGCCCACAGCCACTCTTCTTTCCATCCTTCCACTGGTCCTGCCTCTGCTGATCCTTTTATGGTTCACTTGCCAGTCACAGGTTTTTGAAAGGGTTGTACAGTATTTCAGAAAAGGTGGCAGTATTTCAAAGTAGTTCTTAACATGTACAGAAACACCACATACGACAGGAATGTGTTTTTTTTTTATTTTCATCTGAGTTGTTTCTGTTTAGTTTGTAATGTTTAATGTTTTTTTTCTTGTCCGAAAGTGATCTAGCACCAAACTAATATATCATTACTGGTGATAAGGTAATCCAGAATTAGCACATTAGCTTGTCCAAAAAGTGGGAAGGAGCCACGCTGGGAGCAGAAGCACTAAGCTAGGAAACCCCAACGGATGCTGTATCAATTGGGAGCACCACGCTAGGAAACCCCAACGGATGCTGTATCAAGGTAGCCCTGCTGCAAGGGTGGAGGGGGGATTAGTGGCTGCTTCAGCCACTGGACCCTTCTGCTCTCAACACCAGACCTTTAAGATTTGTTTTGTGTTTAAATTATAGCAGTGTCAGCTTCATAATCCCCAAGGCTCTGGCACTTGCCCTACAGTGCTGCGTGCTGATTCTGGGTCCACTGTGCAGGGAGGAGGAAAAAGGTGACAAAAGATGTTGGGAGGAAACAAAAAGAAATGTGTCACACTGGATGAGGAAAGGGTGAGTAAAGACAACCATCACAGAGGACACAAAAACAGAGGGGAAGAGTATGATACATTAGACAACCGCAGAAAAGGTGACAAGGAATGGGCGGGGCAATAGCACACTAAGGACACATACCACAGTAATATTCTGCATAACAGTATGCACTGTCTCCAGAAGAAAGAGTAACTTTATACTGGGTGAAATCCAGCATTAAATCACAATTAGAGTAGGCCTATTGAATCAGTGGGGATTTGGTGAGTCAGCTCTTCCATAAGTACCACTGATTCAATGGGCCTACTCTAGTGGTGACTTACCACCGAATTTCAGCCAGTCAAATAGAAAAATGCAACTCTAACAGATTATAAACAGAAGGGAAAAGGCAACACATTGCATAAGAATAAAGTGAAGATGGGAAAGAGTAACAGATAAGCATTTGATTTAATCTTATTAAAATATCCTGACAATGGTAATGCTTTCAAAAGGGTAAATATGATCAACAATAAGATGTGGTGGAGGACACTGAGAGCTGATTAAACACATTACTTTGTACAGCTTATGTGTAACCCTCGGAGTTACCACTATAAGAGCAAATAAAAACAAAAATTAACAACTGATTAACTTCGGACCCATGTAATAGATATGTTTTTATCTATGAAAAAGTGATAGAAAAAGAATAAACTCTGAGAACAACCAACTGCAGTTTTAAAAATCAAAGGACACTGAGGGCTGATTAAACACATTGCTTTGTACAGCTTATGTGTAACCCTCGGAGTTACCACTATAAGAGCAAATAAAAACAAAAATTAACAACTGATTAACTTCGGACCCATGTAATAGATATGTTTTTATCTATGAAAAAGTGATAGAAAAAGAATAAACTCTGAGAACAACCAACTGCAGTTTTAAAAATCAAACTTTCACGAACTAAATGTTCTTAAGATGTGAAAGGTCATTTGGAGAGAAGATATCCATCTAAGGGTAAACAGAACATCAATGGAAAGAGACTTATTACAAATAAAGCAGAACATCACAAAGCCAGTTTAAGCCACTCTTTTACACATTTTGAATTGGTGAGTCCTGAATATATCTCAACAAAAACATTAACGACAAGCGATTATTTACAAAGATGCAAATGATTAATTATGTATCACTTTCAAAATATCAATAATACATTAACCAAATTTATGAAAGACTCAATCATGGAATCACACCAGGCAACACTGATATCTACACTATAACTATTTGAAAAGTATCTATCAACTATGTCAAGATTATAACCAGTATTTTATGGTAGTGTTTGAACACAACTGAACTTTTAAAAACTCAGGGTCTGCTTCCAGCAAGCTACAATTCCTACAACAATCACCTCACAGCATTTAAATCCTTAATTGAGGTTTTTCAAGAATCACACCAGGCAACACTGATATCTACACTATAACTATTTGAAAAGTATCTATCAACTATGTCAAGATTATAACCAGTATTTTATGGTAGTGTTTGAACACAACTGAACTTTTAAAAACTCAGGGTCTGCTTCCAGCAAGCTACAATTCCTACAACAATCACCTCACAGCATTTAAATCCTTAATTGAGGTTTTTCAACCCAGTGATACAATTCCTACAACAATCACATCACACCATTTAAATCCTTAATTGAGGTTTTTCAACCCAGTGATAATTGACAGAAGCTGCAATCTAGCAATGTCAAGTTATATTGTGTAAGTCTGATGACATCATCAGCCACATCCATATTTTGTTAATAAAAAAGTTTCCTCTCCCTTATTCCAAGATCCCTGGGGTCCTTTATAACACAGGTCATCAACCCCCGGTCCACAACCCAGTGCCGGTCCACGGTCTGAGCCGGACCAGGCTGTGGAGACAGACCGTCAACCCCGCTCCACGAACCAGTACCGGTCCACGGTCTGAGCCAGACCAGGCTGCGGAGACAGACCTCCCACTCCCCAGTACCCTCCCCACAGCTGCTTTGTGCACGCGCCAGTACTCACTTCCCTCCCCACAGCTGCTTTGTGCACGCGCCTGCGTGTCAGTGCCGGCATGAGCACTCCCTCACCCCTTCACGCATATGCCCGTGCGCCCGTGTGAAGGGGTGGGCGTACCCGTGCACGCAGGTCCTCCTGCGCATGTGTGAAGGGGTTGGGGGAGTGCTCACACTGGTGCTGCCGGGCACGTGTGCGCATGCGCACTCCCACACCGCTTTGCACATGCACTTTGCACAAGCGCGGGGGCGTGTGCCCCACCTTCTTCAGAGGCTCAGCCAGTCCGCAGTCCCCAAAAGGTTGGGGACCACTGCTTTATCATCTCTTTTGTCCTTGGGAGGCCTTTGGAAACAGCAGGACAGAATGAGGGATCTGATATGTCTGAAAATCTAACCTGCTGATGCTGAAATATTTAACGATCTTCAACGTTTTCTTAAAAAAAAAAAACCTGAACATTTAAGACAAGAATTAAGGCTTCACAAACTTAGGAAAAAAGCAGCTTAGGTTAATGTTTAAAAGATATCCCCTTCCTGTATTTCGATGGTGAAGAAGCTAGAAGTAGGCCCCATCCCACTTTTAGACTCATCCCATCTACTCAACCAACAGGTATGAATCAACTCACAGAAGGTTTCCTCAGCAACGCACATGCAAACAAATGTTGCACAAAACATTACAGAATCAGGAGGGACTTCTCTTCTGGTCTCGGATATTCCCATCCCAATTTGAGCCCAAAAGATCAAGGAAGCTAGTTTCAAACAAACACAATCTGTGACATTGCTTCAACTCACTTTAGAAGCAATTTCTGGCTGGAAAAGGCCATATAAATTATTTTGTGGCTCCAGTGAGAACACTCCTACAATAAACATTGGCTCAGAGGCAGGAGCATAGTCCCCCATTCTACACATTCTTCTGGTATATTTATAACTGAAGGAGATTTCCTCAAAACCTGGCAGAATAGATAAACTTTATTACAGTCAGTGAACAATATCCACAACACCAATAAACCATAAATACATAACATATGCTATTTTAAGGACCTGCATTAATGACACCATAAAAACATAAAAAACTATCTGAAACTCTCCTAAGAGCGTAATACTGAATGTGTTTCCCTCTTTAAAAGTTGCTGCTATTAACTAGAACGAATTAATTTGAGCCCAAAAGATCAAGGAAGCTACGTAGTTTCAAACAAACACAATCTGTGACATTGCTTCAACTCACTTTAGAAGCAATTTCTGGCTGGAAAAGGCCATATAAATTATTTTGTGGCTCCAGTGAGAACACTCCTACAATAAACATTGGCTCAGAGGCAGGAGCATAGTCCCCCATTCTACACATTCTTCTGGTATATTTATAACTGAAGGAGATTTCCTCAAAACCTGGCAGAATAGATAAACTTTATTACAGTCAGTGAACAATATCCACAACACCAATAAACCATAAATACATAACATATGCTATTTTAAGGACCTGCATTAATGACACCATAAAAACATAAAAAGAAACTATCTTGAAACTCTCCTAAGAGCGTAATACTGAATGTGTTTCCCTCTTTAAAAGTTGCTGCTATTAACTAGAACGAATTACAGTGGTGCCCCGCATAGTGAGGTTAATCCGTTCCGGATTAACCGTCGCTATGAGGAAACATCGCTATATGGAACCGAAAACGCCATAGAAACGCATTAAACATAGTTTAATGCGTTCCTATGGCTCCTAAACTCACCGTTGTGCGAAGTTTCCCCATAGCGCCGCCATTTTCGCGCCCTCGGTAAGCGAGGGCAGGGCGCGAAAATGCTGCACGCGGCCATTTTGGGCGTCCAGCAGCCATTTTGGAACCGCCAATCAGCTGTTTAAAAAAATCGCTATGTGAAAATCGGTAAGCGAAATGGTTACCGATCGTCGCAAAGCGATTTTTCCCTATCTAAACATCGCAATGCGATCGCTTTTGCGATCGCAATTGTGACGTCGCTATGCAGATTCGTCGTTAAACGGTGCGCTCGTTAAGCGAGGCACCACTGCATAAGTTTTCTAAGACCCTACATTCACAGATTTGACTATAGCTACGCAAAATTTTGCATATATATACCGTTTCCCCAAAAATTAAGTTTTCTAAGCCCCTACATTCACAGATTTGACTGTAGCTACGCAAAATTTGCATATATATACCGTTTCCCCAAAAATAAGACCTAACCTGAAAATAAGCCCTAGTAGGATTTTTAGGATGCTCATAATATAAGCCCTACCCCAAAAACAAGCCCTAGTTAAGTGAAACAGTGCCCTCCACGATCGTGCAGCAACCAGAAGAAGATGGCATGACTGTATTTGAATAAATGTTTCTATTTCTGTATTTGAAAAATTTTTTCTACATGAAAAAAAATAAAACATCCCCTGATAATAAGCCCTAATGCATTTATGGAGCAAAAATCAATATCAGACCCTGCCTTATTTTTGGGGAAACAGGGTAAGCATACAGTACTTATATTCTGCCCTGAAAGCAATAAAAGGGTGTAATACGCCTCTGAACATACAGGAAATAGCTTTAAACAAGGTTCAATAAAGGTTCTCCAAATATCAAGATAAAGAGGGCAATACAAAAGAACAAAAGTTATTGTTTCTATTCCTCCAGAATTGCAAGGATATTTGTGATGGCGGTACGGGATCTTTTTAAACTTCCTCTCCTGAACTGCTGATGGCAGAGCATTTGGCCAAGCAAGAATGAAAGTTCTATGTGCTTGTGTATTGATAGTAAATATAATTAGCTGGTTTAAAAGTCAGCAAGGCTGTCTTGATTAGAATATTGTTTGAGGTTGTGCCAAGATCATGGTGCCTGTCAGCCTCTGCAATATGTTGTCCAAGGGTTAACCTGGTTGCATCACACTCCATATGGATAAGACATTTCACAGAGAAGACATACCCTTAAGTTTAGAAATGGAGCTTTCTTCCAAATCGATTGATAATTGCCCTGTAGTATTAAAGCGGTTAAGAGTATTGGAGGAAAATTAGCTTCAGGCAAAAGCTAAAAATACCTAGCCAAATGCTGGTTTCAGCCTTCAGGTATCCCCCCTCCAACTGCAGATCTGCCTTTGAGACCCAGTGGGGTACTTTAAAAATAGCTCTCAAAAATCTTGTTTGAACTACAATACTTCCAAGGAAGTAAAAGGAGAATATGGGCCCAGGTCTGCACTATAAAGAGGCTGACTAAGAGATTTGGCCTGGAATAGTTTTAAAGCAGTTGGAATATAATGCCTAACTAATTAAACAAAATTTAATATTGGAGAAGCAGATCTTTGTGCTACCTGGGCAACATATTCTGCAGGTACCTTTTGAGTGCCATTTGCCTGAAAGACAACACCAACATACTTAAAGACCCTTCTCTGCTCAATCTTGTGGCCATTTATCACCATTCATAGAACGTTTGCAAACACCATAACCTTAGTTTTCTTAGTTTATTATTTAGTTTTCTCATAGTTTATTATTTGGAGGCTTTCCTCCTGGCTATAAAGTATTACGGCACACAGTATTCTCTTTATGCCCATAGGTATCTGTGTCATCAGCATGCAACAGCGCTAAGAGGTGTCCATCTGTTATACTGGGAGGGTAGAAATCTGGGTGAATCTGACAAGCAAAACACCAGGTCACCTTTTTAAAAACTCACCCTGCTTTTCTGCTCTGAACAACAACCCGAGAGACAGAAGTTATATGAGGGAAATGTCTAATATAGATATAAATTGTGAGGAAACTTTCACTTGCTTGTGCATAGGATCAGGGTAAATTTAAAAGGAGCATACAGTAAACAATATCAATACCACACAAATTTGCTGTTTGTGCATATTTGTCTTTAAAGATCTTGCAGAACTGTTAATGTGGCATTAGGAAAGAAAAACAGAAAAAGGAAGATTGGTATCCACACAGCAAAGGATCCAAACAGAAGCATACAGTGACAAAATAAGGGAGCAAATTTAAAGGTAGGAACAAATACAGTCACAATGAGAAGTGAAAGGAACCTAATGAAGAAAGTTGTTGAAAGAATTAGAAGAAAAATATTAAATGAGCACCATCATTAAGAACAGAGCTACCAGCAAGAATGTCACAATAATCAGTAAAGTGAAAAGAATTATATTTTTCATAGTTAATAAAGCAAACAGCAAAGACTGGAATAACAGAAGGATAGATTGTAATTCATTAGCACAAACAACAATAAAGAACAAGCAGATTAATTCAAGTCTTTTTTAAAAATTCCAGTTTTTGAACATGGGATATTGTGCTTCTGTATCCATGATTCAAAACACCAGTAAATGGCTTGATATGTTGCCAGCAGGAAAAGGATGCTAAGCTTTATATAGCAAAGAGCAGCCTGAATGCTGACAACACCAGTGACAGCAGTCAAGATAGTCGACAGCAATGATTCCCAATCTTGGGTCCTCAAATGTTCTTGGACTACAACTCCCAGAAATCTTGGCCAGCACAGCTAGTGATGAAGGCTTCTGGGAATTATAATCCAAGAACTTCTGGGGGCCAAAGGCTGAAGCCACTGGTCTAGGACAGTGGTTCTTAACCTTTGTTACTCGGATGTTTTTGAACTGCAACTCCCAGAAACCCCAGCCAGCACAGTTGGTGGTGAAGGCTTCTGGGAGTTGCAGTCCAAAACTCCTGAGTAACCCAAGGTTAAGAACCAGTGGTCTAGGATACCGCCTTCTGCTCACTATCATTCACAAAGTGATACCATGTAAGGGAAGATGACTCCTTTTTTCATCCGTTGACCACTTTTCACCCAAACACAAAGCAATCATCATGCTTGTATTTTGACAAGTGTAAATGACAGTGAGCACAAGAGAGCATATGGCATAATGCTCCTCTCGCCAACCTCAAGCAACCCTATATGGACCACCCGTCTGCTTCAAAAGGGCCAGTATATTCACAGCCAAAGTGACTATATTTGTGTATGCGTGTATATTTATAGGGAGGGAGGGCTAACCAGAGCCAGAATTACAGTATCACTGTGTGTAACTGAATGGTGTCCAGATGCACACTAGTGTTGGGATCTTGCTCAATGTTCTTCCAAGTATATATATCAGTTGTCTCATAAGTCTGGTTTGGGGAACTCTTGGCCCGAAGTCCAGGTCCAAACTGTTGCCCATTTTCATCTTGGCCATGGTGGGATCTTGCTCAATGTTCTTCCAAGTACTGTATATATATATCAGTTGTCTCGTAAGTCTGGTTTGGGGAACTCTTGGCCTGAAGTCCAGGTGAAAACTGTTGCCCATTTTCATCTTGGCCATGCCTATTATAAGCAGGAACAATTAAAATGTAAGTTTTCATTACCAATGATTTTGAATAAATGAGTATTACGGTCAAAGACCAGTAAAACCAAATCAATATAAAATAGATACATATAATTATAGTTTCGTAAAGTCAGTCAGGGTAATAAAATTCCATTAAAATGTGATAAAACAACCCCTTCTTTCCAGTTAATATCCAATATCCTTAATATAAGTAAACCCTCAGTCAGTGTTAAATTAAAAACATATCCATCTAAAATCACCTACCCAAACATTTGATTACGAATAACCATTGCTGCCGCACAGAATTTGGCCACTTGTCTCGTAGTGTTAATGGCTGCGTGTACTCCTTGTGCTTCAGAAGAGCAGATTTTAAAGTGTGTAGAACTGCTTCTCACAAGAAATGCTAATCTGCTACATGCAGATGTGAAGAGGTGCAGTAAGAAGAGCCAAGTCTGGTTTCCACCGAGCTAGAAAAGAATTTCTGCCATTTTCCAAGGCAGTACTTCGTCTTGCGTAAAATCATCAAATGGTTAACAGGCAATTTGACCCTTGACCCTGAGACGACCCACCCCAACCTCGTGCTGTCTGAGGACCGCAAGAGTGTTAAATTTGTCAAGCAGCGCCTGAGAGACCTGACCGACAGTCCAAGGCGCTTCACCATCTACCCTTGTGTCTTGGCCACGGAAAGCTTCACCTTTGGATGCCACTACTGGGAGGTGGAATTGGGTGAAAAGACTCACTAGGCCCTGGGTGTTTGCAATGACTCCGTAAGCCGTAAAGGAGAGAGGGACAACCTCCTTGCCCGAGGCTGGCTACTGGCGGGTGAGGCTCTTCAAAGGGGACAAGTATGCGGCCACCACTACTCCTTTCACCCCGCTCCATATCTCTACCAAGCCCAAGCAGGTAGGGGTCTTCCTGGACTATGAGGCTGGCAGGCTTTCCTTCTATAATGTGACGGATCACTCCCATATGTACACATTTACTGGCACTTTCACTGAAAAACTTTGGCCTTTTTTCTACCCAGGGATCCGTACCTGGCGAAGAACGCTGCCCCCCTCATCATTCGGTCTCCCACGGACTGGGAGTGATGAAAGGGCCAAGTCCCTCAGCTTGGGTTCTCCTGGAATGATACTTTGTTACAAGCCATAAAAGAAAAGATAATTGTTGCAAACTGTTTGTATACAGCATCTAGCTTCCTTATACAGTGGACCCTCTACTTAAGGAATTAATCCGTATTGGAATGGTGGCTGCAAGTCGAAAAGTCTATAAGTAGAATCTCCATTGACCTACAATGCACTGAAAACCGATTAATCCCATAACCAGTGGTTTTTATTCTATTTTTATTCCATTTTGGTTTTTTCTGGTCTGTAAGTCGATTCTCTGGCTGCAAGTCGAATCTAAATTTTGCAGCCAGAGAAGTCTGTAAGTCGAGCCGTCTGTAAGTCAAGCCATCTGTAAGTCGAGGGTCCACTGTAATCTTTTCTAAACTTAATATCCATATTCATTAATTAAAGCATGATCAAATGATTTTGAATTATGACTCAGGTCGTGCAGACTCCATTTAGCCACAAACCACTATGTTCTAATTGTGCACACAAACAGGTAGAATGTATGCTTAAAGAGTACCGTGTGAATTTCAAAATGGAAAACTAGATTGAAAACACATATTTAGAATAGGCTTTTTGATATAAACTGATTCACATGGGATACTCCCATCAAAGCATTTGGTTGCTTACTTTTAGTATATTCTGCAAAGCCTTCTTTTCCAAGTTCCAGAATCATTTGCTGCTTCCACCTCTCCAGATAAAAAGCCTGCTGTGGAGACATAGACTGCTGTAGCACCGTTGTCACACTGGGCAGTGGCTTCTTTGACAAACTGATTTTTAAAGGCAGTCTGGGGACAGTTATCTGAGGTAAGGAACTCTTACTGGGATTCATCAGAGGAATCCAGTTATTACTAAGTTGTGGTTCAAGGTCCTGATGTGGAAGTTTATATTTATCCCCAGGTCTGTTAATGACCTTTTCTTCACATGATGATTTGGATCTTTGAGAACTATCTTCAGAGGATGTGAGATAGCGGACCAAATCTTCGTATTTTTCTTGGTCAGTGTTTCCATACGCACTCTTTTTCTTCTTCCCATAAAGGCAGGAAGAATTAGCAAGGAATCTGGACAGCAACTGATGTCTGTTCAACAATTCTGGCAATTTCCCACCTTTTCTGACTGACTGGGGGAAAGACCACATATTGCAAGAAAGTTTTTACAGACAGCTGAACCCAGGAAGCACTTTTTTCTTCTTCAAGAAATCCCTCCGCTTTCTCCTAGTTTCCTAATGTTAAAAAAACAAGATATTTTATTTACTTATTGTTCACTACTAACAGCTTTACGACTAAGATGATGCATTAGGAACAAGTCTCTTTTTGATATACAAATAAAATGCAGCGACATGTAAAATAATCAAGGCATACATATTCGTATTTTACCAACATGGAAGCCATCATTTGGCATTCAAATAATGGTGTGACAGTCGGTTGGGAACATTGCCCTCAAGTGAGCACCTCTCCTTTGAACTATTGTTTTATCATGAATGCTACCTCAGGTAAGCAGTGCAGTTTCACAAACTGTCATGTCTGTTCACTGCTGTATCACTTGCCAACTTTTTAAAAAATGCAGGAAAGGGGCCAGTATTATGACAGAGAAGGGTGGGCAATCTACTATCCCAGTGAGAAATGGAGTAACTTGAGATGCAATGTCTGCTGTCGCTCCTACCTGAAATTGTCTGGGAGAATTAGACATGCAGAGTGAACACCGCCAGCAGTTTTAACTGTCATAAGAAACTTTGAATTGACCCAAATCAACCTGGGACAACCTCCCTGTCTCCTTGCAACAACAAGCATGAAGCGCAAGGGAAAAATAACAACTGGTTCTACGGAGGAGGAACAATAGGAAAGTACTGTATAGTATTTAGAAGGCAAAATAATTACTCATGACCCTCATAAGGGAAAGAGAAGGCATCTTTAAAAAACAGAGGCCACCTTCCAGTGAAGGCAAATCAGAACTGGAATTGTTAGGATGGGTCAACGCAACATCTACCCTCGAAGAATGTCTGAGACTAAGAAGGAACGCGTGGCTTCATACGCAGTATTTATGCTCCCGCTCCAGAAGCCGCCACGTGGGGATCGGATCGCCGGGCAAACCTTCCCGCCATTCCCGAAGTTGAAATGTGCTTCCCAACGTTAGGACGCAACCAACGTCAGCACAAGTCGTTAAGGAAAGTCATTGCATTCGGAAGCCTTTACTTCCTAGCACATCTGCAAACAAAGAGAAGCAACTAAAACCTCCTCACTTCAAGCCGCCTTTTCAAGAACCGCACCTCGCCTACCGTAGCTTCTCCTCCGACGACGCCCCGCGATTCTTGCTTCCTTAGCCGGGCTCGATCTCTCTCTCTCCCGCCCCCCAAAAAGAACAAACCCTTTCTCCCCGCCCACCACATTTCGCAGGATCTGCATCTCTGGCAGACGAACACCAGGGTAAAACAATAGGAGAGTGACAGATGCGGGACACACACACACACACGTGAGACACGCACACTGGTGAGAGAAGCACATGCAGGAAGAAAATAAACTAAAAACCTCTGTCTTCTGGTTTCCGGCTTCATTAAAAACCACTGGACAAGGGCAATATTTCCTTCTCACCGTTCAAAGTCAGTGGGAAAGACGGCGAGACGAGTCTATTAAAAAAAAATCTGGCCGCAAACCCGAGTCCCTGCAAGCTTCCGGAAGAGTGCAGAGAGATAAGAAATTAAAAAAAATGAAGTGCAGGGCGCAGATCAGGGCTGGGAGCGACACACACACACATTATCTACTTACTTTCTGAATTAATTAATTAAAGCATTGATTGCCCTAATTGCCATTTATACTCAGTCATTACACACTTCAGCCTTTGCACTTTAAAATGCCTTTCGGGCAGTTATGAATAAATCTTGGAAACTCTGCCCACCAATTCTTTCTCCTTAGTATTGTTTCGGGCCGACTCGGAATATCTCTGCGGAAGCTATCGGGCAGTCATGAATAAATCTTGGAAACTCTCCCCACCAATTCTTTCTCCTTAGTGTCGTTTGGATTGAGAATGCTTTCTGTGGCCGACTCGGAATATCTCTGCGGAAGCTACCGAGACTGTCTACCGGCGCGTCACTGTGTATATCTCTATAGTGTGGGCGAGGCGTGTTTCGTCTCCGGGGAGGGGGGGCGAAAGGATTTAAGGAGCGGACCGAAGGGCGTTTGGCGGCTGCGCAGTAAGGAGGAGGCGGCATTGTTGTAATCATGTCTCTGGCCGTGGAAGAGCAGGAAGAGGCGAGCGGCGGGACCAAGGTAACTTGTTGATAGAGGGGGTCCCGCTCAGACGCCGACCTTCTCTCTGGTCAAGGAATGTGTTAATAATGGATGCGGTTCCTGTAATATTTTGTTCATATTTGAGAGTTTCTTTTTTCTGCACCACCCTAAGAAATAATGTAGTTCTGGTTCTTCCTGTAAAGTTTTTTTTTACTTCGTAGTACTGTACTAATAAATGTATTGTGGGTGGCATGAAATAAGTTGAAGAAAGTGCACACATTAGAAAATGAAAACATTCTTTCCTGTTAGAAGGATTTTTTTTTAAAAAAGAAACTGATAACGATAGAAAGAACCTAGGATAAAGGGGCCGAATCCTGATCCCATGACAGGTATGGCCAAGCTTCTGCTTGACGTGTGGCTTTATGAGTCGCTATAAAATGCACGAAGGCTCAATCCTGTTTATGATCATGTGTCATGTAGTCTTGTCAGATGGCTGAAGGTACCAGAAGTGGCTCCTGCCTCCTGTAATTTCTGCTTCTCTCACTTTTGGTTTCCTCCCATGCTTCCAGAGCTGTTGGCCTATCAGGGTCTGTGTTATCTAGCCTTGTATTATTGTTGTAGGTCTATTATCAGATCATTGGCATTATTCATTCCAAGCTAAATATTGGAAGTCTTGTTGATGTTAACAGGAAATTATAGCCAAACTAGATGCATAATGCTAGTATTTAGTAGTCATTTGGAACATGTATGCTATGGTAACAAATGCTGACGAAACTCTTTCTGGCATTCATGTGGCTCCTGACTTATTGTCTGATTACATTGTGCAAGATTGGCAGTGGCTTCTGGGCAGAGAGGAAGCTTTTTCATCCAGCAGGGTTTTAAATTCTGAATAAACAGTTACCTTATGCTATGGTAACAAATGCTGATGAAACTCTGGCATTCATGTGGCTTCTGGCTTATTGTCTGATTACAACATTGTACAAGATTGGCAGTAGCTTCTGGTCAGAGAGGAAGCTTTTTCATCCAGTAGGGTTTTAAATTCTGAATAAACAGTTACCTATTTGTGTCAATAGGAAACAGGATTTCTAAGACATCCATTTTAATACAAGGTTTAGTTAAAATGTTGTTGTCATGTGTTGTCAAATCGCCCCCATCTTTTGGCAACTCTATAAATGAATGATCTCCAAACTGTCCTCTCAACTGTCCTGCTCAGGTCTTGTAAATTCAAACCAGTGAATTTAGGGAGACAGTCCATCTCATATTTGGTCGTCTTTTCCTGCTGCCTTCCATTTTTCCCAGCATTATTGTCTTTTCCAGAGAATCCTGCCTTCTCATGATGTCCCCAAAGTAGGACAGCCTCAGTTTCAGCATTTTTGTCTCTGGAGATAGTTCAGGCTTGATCTGATCTAGGACACTTTTATCTTTCTGACAGTCCAAAGTCCTCCTCTAGCACCACATTTCAAACAAATCATTTTTTATCTTCCAACTGACTTTCTTTACTGTCCAGCTTTCAAACCTGTATATGGTGCTGGAACTACAAGAGTACAGTATGAATGATCTTTGGCTTCATCTCCAGTGACATTCTTCCTCCTCTAGCACCACATTTCAGACAAATAATTTTTTATCTTCCAATTAGCTTTCTTTACTGACCAGCTTTCAAACCTGTATATGGTGCTGGAACTACAAGAGTGTGAATGATCTTTGGCTTCATCTCCAGTGACATTCTTACACTTGATGATGTTTTCTGGTTTCTTTTTTGCTACATTTCTGGTTTTTCTTCTGATTTCTTGGCTGCACTCCCTGTTTGGATTGATGGTTGAAACAAGGTATATGCAATTTCTAACTATTTCAGTTTCTTTATTGTCCACACTGAAGTTATATAGTTCTTCTGTAGTCATGTTTTTTGTCTTCATTTCCTACTGCAATCCTGTTTTGGCTCTTTTTTCTTTCACTTTCACAGAGTTGTTTCAAGTTATTGCTGCTTTTTGCCAGTAAGATGGTGTCATCTGCATATCTTAAATCACTGATGTTTCTTCCACCAATTTTCACCCAACCTTCACCGGAATCTAGTCTGACTTTCCATATGATATGTTCTGTGTACAGATTGCACAGATAAGGGGGATAGAATGCACTCTTGTCTGACACCTTTGCCTACAGGAAACCATTCTGTCTTTCCATATTCTGTCCTAACAGTAGCTTCTTGACACAATAAAAGTTACGCACCAGGACAAGTTAAATATTAGCTAAGATTAAATAGAATTTAATTTGGCAGAAATTAAACAAGTAATTAAGATACTGAACAAATTACAAAAAAATAACTGATTTCTTGGTGCACATTTATCCCTTATTGAGCACAAAATGAGAATATACACCATTTTAAAAATAGGAATGACAATACAGCTGCTTCTCTTCTTTCAGCAGTTTAAAGCAGTGGTCTCCAACCTTGGGCCTCCAGATGTTCTTGGACCAACTCCCAGAAATCCTGGCCAGCAGAGGTGCTGGTGAAGGCTTCTGGGAGTCATAGTCCAAGAACATCTGGAGGCCCAAGGTTGGGGACCACTGCTTTAAAGCACTAGATTACATCTGTCCTATAGTGTAGAAATAATGTTCTAGAAACCACAGATGTTTGGTGAGTTAAGAATTAGATATATTGAATCAGAATGTCTGGGATGTTGCACGACATGTGGCATCTGTGAGGATGTGCTCTGTTTATCTAGTAGCACATAAGTTTTCTCAGGTCTGCCCAATGCTATAATGCCTTTCTCTCAGTTAAGAATGTGCTGCATAATTTCACTGTTGGTTATCTGCAGTTATGTTAATATTCAAAGATCTGAACTATAGAAGAACACCCAAGTTCATCTGCTTAAGCCATCCCCTTTCCCGTCACAACATAGCCAGTTACTCTGCTAGGGTGCAATCTTCCCAGTCTCCACATTTTTTATCACTTTTTCCTGTGGTTCCTTCTTCCCTCTTTAGAAATTCAAAGATCTAATAATTGAAAGCTCTTTAGAGTTATTAGAAGCAAAGAGAGGAGCTTGGGGCTATTATACTGTATACAGTGGACCCTTGACTTACAGACCACTTGACTTACAGACTTTTTGAGTTACAGACTTCTCTGGCCGCAAAATTTAGGTTTGACTTGCAGCCTGAGAATTGACTTACAGACCAGAAAAAAAAAAAAGGAACAAAAACGGCCTGTTACGGGATTAATCGGTTTTCAATGCACTGTAGGTCAATGGAGACTTGACCTACAGACTTTTTGACTTGAGAACCGCCTTCCAATATGGATTAAGTTCTCAAGTCAAGACCCCACTGTATTCTTATTTTGTGATCTGCATGTGGGATATACTGTATATGCTCCAGTAATCGGTGGCTAGAGAGTGAACTTTAAGTGCTTTAGAGAGGGTGGCTTGAGAAGGATGTGCTCATGACAGGACATTCTGGCTGGTCCTGAAAAGATGGCTTGGCAGTGGACATTGCTCAGTTGCTCCCATTTATAGCAAGGGAAGCAAAAGGCATGGCAAAATGTTACTTCATAGTTACCATATTTTCTGGCAGTGGACTGCTTTGTTTCTCAGTTCTGTTCCATCCTATCTACTCAGAAAAATAGTCCTGTCTAGCATCTTCCTTTGCTCTTTTGGGAGGAAACAAAGCAGAGAAGGAAAACTGCTGCCCAATGAGCTGCCAGTGAGCCAAAACTGTGTGATTTGTTCAACTGTCACAAGTGAGGGTGATAGAGCAGTGTGCACTGGCATATTGTTTGTTCATACCAAGCCTGGGTTCCTGCAGACAAAAAAAGCATGAGAGAGTGGGGTTTGAAGAGAATAGGATCTTGGGGGAAATGAAATAAGGTGCAGTAGTTTGTGCTTAAAGTGGGGGAAAGCCTTCTGCCAACTTCCGGCTTCTCTTGCATGCAACTCCCTCAGCTGACTTCTGTGGAGTCTGTGCAGATGTTGGGATGAGAAAAATTCTACACGTCTTGTATACCCAGCTTTATAAGAACTTTTTATATCATTTTAAAAACAGCAATTTGCTAGCATCTGTTGGAGGCATCTCAAATGCCAGGGCAAGGACTGCTTGGAAGAGAGACATATTTGAGTTTCTCATGAAACGGCTAGGTTAGGGTTGGTACTTACGCTTATACTTAAATATAAGCAGCATAAGCACCTTTTCTGATCTTTGTCTCTTAGCTGTATTGCCTTCTGTAGTGGAAGATACTGTCAGGGGAAACTAAGAAAATCTGTTCTGGGGGGGGATATAAAACACCCTCGGACATTTTGATCAACTAGGTTGGATGTAATGTCGTCACAGAACAATTGTATTCAAATGACTACTTTGTTTGCTAAGTGAGATAAATTACGCCACACCCAAGTTACTCCGTTTTTCCTGTGAATAATGCAATTCTTACAGTGTCACCATTGGCCAGCTGATAGAGGGATGTGTCACTCGACAGAAAGTTAATAAAACTGCCATCTCAGCAATCAACTGTCTCCACATTGGAGTTGCTTTTGTTGAAATCTTTATGGATATAGGTTTTAAGCATAACTTTTTGCTTTAAAACAAGTTTTTCCTTATTTTCGTGATGGCTTTCTTCTAAAACATAGAAGCATACACACATCAGTGTCAAAAAGAGCATAATCTTTCTGGTACTGTATTGAACAATTCAAGATTTTTTTAAAAAAATACGAACTCCCCAGTTTGATCCCTAGGGAAACTTCATCTGTGCACAAAGGAGAAGGAGTTGCATGCACCCAACTGTCAGAGACTGGTTGTCCATTAGAAGGTAGAGAAAAAAACAAAGTGGTGTGATCCTTACACAATACAAAGGAAGGGCAGGTGATACCTTTATTCAACCATAAAAAAATTAAACAAATAGTTAGCTTTTGACCTAAACACGTCTTTATCAGGCTGGGTACAAATCTATTGTGGATAATGACTCTTTGCACCCTGCAATTTTTACATCACCTTCATGAAGAAAACAGACATCTACCAAGACTTTAGAGACTCTCATATATATTCATATTTTTCTGCACTATCCACAATAGATTGGTGCACCATCTTATGAAGATTAGTTTAGGTCAAAAGCTAGCTATTTGTGGATGGGTAGAATATGGCTATTATATAGTCAGTCATTCAGACTAAAATGGAAGTGTTCATGTCATTAACCCAGAATTAGAAATAAAAATAAAAATTGTAGTGAGTCATTTAATTTTTTGAAGCGATCAGTTTGATCAGTCTCACTGCGCAGAAACAGAATATTTCACTGAAGATCTAGAACTAAAGAAAAGACAGCTAAGGAAAAAAAATATTTCAATCTTAACCTTTTATTTTTTTTTCTTTTTACCCTTCTACTCATACTAAGACTTGCCATTACTGAACAGTCTCCATTTGTAATGGCTATTTAAGTCCCCACTTAGTGATGCAGTTAGCTTTTTGTTTTCCCCATACAGTGGTGCCCCGCTTGATGACAACCCCGCTTGATGACTAAATTGCTTGACGATGAGGTTTTTTTTAGATCGCTATAGCGATCACAGAACGATGGTTCCTATGGGTTCTTTTTTTGCTTTACTTTGATTAGGTGCCTGGTTCGTGAACTGTTTGTTCGCAAAGCGATATTTTTTCCGGCTCTGCATAATGGCTTTCCTTCCCAACATGGCTTCCCTCCCTTTGCAAAATGGCTGTTTTCTGGACAGAAGCTTCGGAAGACAGTGATTTTAAACAGCTGATAGGCGGTTCTCTATGGGTGGTCTTCACTGGATGATGAGGTATTTCCCCATTGGAATGCATTAACCGGTTTTCAATGCATTCCAATGGTTTTTTTCCCCCGCTTGACGATGATTTCGCTTAACAGCGATTTTCCTGGAATGGATTATCGGCGTCAAGCAGGGCACCACTGTATTTAGTTTAGGCATCTGGCTGTGGAGTCAGAGGTTTGGAATTCTATTCCCCACTGTGCCTCCTATGAGTAGTGGTAGCCTGTGTGACTTTGGGCAAGCTGTACAGTCCCAAGGTGCCCCCAGAGGAAAGGAATGGTAACCCACTTCTGAGTATTCTCTACCTGGAAAACCCTGAAAAGGGTTGCCTTAGGTCTTAAGGGTTGACTTGACAGTACGTGGCTATTATTAAAGCATGCAATTAGTAGCAACAGTGCGATGGAATGTAGAGGTGAGAGAGCGGCTTCTAAATACCAGCTGTACCTGTCCCATCCTCACAGTTCACTTTGCTTCATGGAAGGCTTGCCAGGGGCTAGCAGCTGATGAAGCAAGCTCTCACTATTATATCTCCAACACTGTCATGTCTTTTACTTCCATTTTAGATGAGAGCTGTATCTGTGGATTTAAATATTGACCCTTCATTACAAATTGACATCCCTGATGCACTCAGCGAAAAAGATAAGGTGAAGTTCACAGTCCACACTAAGGTAAGATGACATGGAGGAGGGAGGATTAAGCGTTGGAAGCAATAGCTTTGCTCAGAGATGAGAAAAGCTGATAACTATGGTAAGGCCAGAAATAGGAAAATTTATTTTTCTGACAGGTGAACTACAGTGCCCATGCTGGTTGGGCTATTCTGGCAGTATAGTTCAGAAAATAATTTTTCCAATCTCTGGCTTTGCCATAGTTAGCAATAAAGGTGGGGACAACTCACCATTTTGGCAAGCCGTCCTGCTTCGTGATCCGTCAAAGTTGACGAAGCACGAAGCTCCTCCCCATGAACTGACGAAGCACAAATTTATTTGTTGATTTGTGGGGGGGAGATGTTAGATAGCCAGAGGCTACCTAAAAAAACCTGATACCGACACCATCCCCCCACCGTAATTGCTGCTACCATGGCTGTCACCAACTGGCCTCCACAGCCATGGCCTGCAGTAAGGGACACTGGCTGCCCTTTGCAAAGATGGCAGCTGTAGCTTCATTTAGGGCAGGGAAGCTGCAGCCTCCATCTTTACAAATGGCAACCTGGATTCCCTTAAGGCAGGCTAAGGGAATCCAGGCTGCGCTTTGCAAGGATGGCAGCTGCAGCTTCCCTGCCCTAAATGAAGCCGCAGCCACCATCTTTGCAAAGGCCTTCCCTCTCTTCCTATGGGGGACGAATAGAAATTTGGAAATATTTCTCCCTTCGTATTCGTCGGGGTCTCTGGAATTGACGAATATGAAGGGATGAATATTTAATGAATCAGCAATTTCTAACGAATAATGCAATCTTTTTTTATTCATCCCCATGTCTAGTTAGCAAGTTAGATATGTGTGCTATAAGGTGTAGTGTAATCATTTTCAATCAGCAAATGGCCTGTTCTCAAGCACTGTAGTAGTTTGAAAGAAAACAGATGCATTGAGTTGATCTTTGACTTATAGCTACAAGGAATCTAGTCATCAAGATGTACAAATGATGGTTTATTATCTGAAAGTGGATACTGTATTTTTCCGTTTATAAGATGACCCCCTCCCCTTTTCTAACCCCAAATTAGAAAATTTGATCCCTGCGTATCCCTTCCTTTTGGTAAGCCACAGAGCTTAACAAAAGGAAGGGAAAAGCAGGGATTAAAGGGCTCCCTTTGACCACCGCTTTTCCTTGCCTTTTGCGAAGCCATGGGGCTCCTTCGGGTAAAGGCTGTACGATTGCAGCCCTTTGATCCTGAAGCCCTGTTCCTTCGGGTAAAGGCTGTACGATCGCAGCCCTTTGATCCTGAAGCCCTTTTATGGCTGCTTCAGGATGCCTGATTGGTGCATCCCCTCAAAGAGTCTAGAAAGTGGAATGATGGGTATAAAAGAGAGAGGGAATTTATACTTATCTGTTGCCCTGCTGCTTGACCTATACTCTGTGTATGCTCTGGACTTATGCAACAAAACAGGGGGGCAGTGTGTCGTGGCGGCAGCAGAGGAACCGAAAGTGGTGGAGGAAGGGGGAATCCCAGGCATGGAGATGCCTCGAGACCCCACTCCACATCCGCCGCCAGGACCAGCTGCTCTGGATCCTGACCCGCTGCCTTTCCAGGCAATAGCACTGCGGTTGCAGCTGCCCACTCAGGTTTGGCTGTGGGAGGGAGGGGGGAGTAGCGATCTGGCGACTTATGGCTTGCATGCCAGCAGAAAGGGCTCCACATGCCAGCGGTGACACACGTGCCATAAGTTCACCATCGCTGGCCTAGGATGCCTAGCTTTCTTATTTTCTTGTGGGAACTGTTGCTTCAGGCCTCTTTGAATGATTACTTGCTCCACAGCTTTTTTGGCCGTTCCATGAATTTTTGAAACTGTTTAAGAAATTTCATTTCTTTGTTGTTTTCTCTTCAGCATCTTTAAGAAAACACAAAAATTTTACAGCAGTTTTCTTATTTTGGGAAAAGGGGGTTGTTGGTACTAAAGAAAGGCTTTGCCTCAATCACCATCCTACTGGGTGTTTTTGCATTTTGTGGGTCTTTTGGTATTCCTACCTTGCAGGATTGGTGCAAAGAACAAAAGCACTTAATCTTGTGGACTTTTGCTAACTCCTTGGAGCACTGAGTAGTTTGAATGACTCAAAAGTGTTGGGAGGTGTACCAGGTAGGAAGATTTCCTCCAGTCATCAGCACATTTGGCCCCCTTTCCACACCAAGAAAGTCTGGGCAGTGTGGCTAAGTGGTTAATGTGGGCCTCTCTAACTCAGCAGAATCATGGCAGAAATGAACTGACACGATGGCCCTTGTGTTAGACGTCTTTTCTTTTTTCCCCATTGAATCCACCCACCATCAAAGGTGGGCAAGCCTGAAAACCTTTAGAAATGGTGGCAAGCTTAGGGCTGTTGTTAGATTTGCCAGAGAAAAGACAAAAGCCACTGTGGGCACCTGATCTGATGATCCATTAGTCTTTCCAGCTGAATAGGTGTGATGGACAAATACATAAACTATTCTTTGTAATAATAAAGTAGAAGGAATGTGCTAGTGGTGCAAAGGAATAAGCTTTTGATCTCTTTCAGACTACACTGCCAGCTTTTCAGAGCTCAGAATTTTCTGTTACTAGACAGCATGAAGATTTTGAGTGGCTACATGATACGTTTACTGAAACAGAAGAGTATTCAGGACTAATTGTGAGTATTTAGACTGGTAGCAACCTGGTCAAAATAAGGAGCTTGTAATCAAGACACTGAATGCTTTCTGCTCTTTTGTTGTAAATGTATTGCTGCTTTTTATTTCACCTGTAGGTCAAAGAGTTGACTGCTGTGAACAGAAGGTTGCAATACTTGTACTCATTTAATTGGGAATAAATTACATCAATCAGAATACTATTTATTTGTGCCACCATGTAAGGGCAATCATGCAAGCATTCCTAGCCCTGGCACCCTCTCCTTCACATGCTTGATCTCCTGCTAGTTGCAAAATTGGATGCACAAAGGGAAGTCCACCAAAGGGGGAAAGCAGCTGCACGATCCTTCCTTCATGTGCAATATTTCCTCAATTAGATTTTGGCCACTGAGTTCAGTGAGATCTGCTGAGAGGAGACAAGCATGGGATTGTACTATAACTTAAATATTGGCTAAGTGCAAATATATTATTGCAATGTATTCGAGCTGATCAAATAATTAGACCTCACTTTAGGCAATATTTCCTCAGTTAGATTTTGGCCACTGAGTTCAGTGAGTTCTGCTGAGAGGAGACAAGATGGGATTGTACTATAACTTAAATGTTGGCTAAGTGCAAATATATTATTGTAATGTATTTGAGCTGATCAAATAATTAGACCTCACTTTATATCAAAGGCTTTCACAGCAGGGATCCAATGGTTGTTGTAGGTTTTTCGGCTGTTTGGCCATGTTCTGGAGGGTTTTCTTCCTAGCGTTTCACCAGTCTCTATGGCCAGCATCTTCAGAGAACAGGCGTTAGAACTCTGTCTGGGTTCTGCTATAGTGTGTGGGATAGATGAGTATGTATAGCTGTGGGATCAGCTTTTTGTCCTTTTCAGGAGATTTGATCATTATGGTGATCAGTGTTTTTTTTGTTATGGGTGTATTGTTGTGATAAGGAGGGAGATGATCTGTCACTGTGATTGATGAGTGTAGTTAGCTAGTCTTTTGTATGCAGTGATCACTGGTCCTTGTGGCTGGGTAGAGTTCATTGAGCTTTTTGCAGGCTGTATTTTTCAGTGCTGGGAGCCAGGCTTTGTTGAGTTTTAGACTTCTTTTTTGTTGAAGCTGTGCTGATGTTTGTGGATTTCAGTGGCTTCCCTGTGCAGTCTAACATAATGATTGCTGGTGTTGTTCAGTACTCCAGTCTCCCAGCACTGAAAAGTGCACCTTTAATTTTGACAATGCTTACCAGCAGTGGCTCTGAATAAATATAGTCATTCATTAGCTCATAACAAATTCTTCAGGATGCAAGAGTCCTGTTTCGTTGCTGCTGAACTCCAGCAATGTTGTTATAAAAATTGCTGCTGCAGAGTTTTCTACTGTGAAAGTGTTGTTGCCTTTTGTCTAAGATTCCACCAGCCCCTGCAAAGCCTGACTTTGATGGCCCTAGAGAGAAGATGCACAAGCTTGGAGAAGGAGAAACGTCAATGACAAAAGAGGAATTTGCCAAAATGAAGCAAGAGTTGGAAGCGTGAGTACTGTAGTTTCCTCAGTAAAGATTTTCTGTCTTGTCTTTTGTTTTGCTGACAAATTTACAGTTAAAGGAGTTCTGAAATTGCCAAACAGCACAGCACCTGTGTGGATGGATACAGGAATTGGTGCTATGTGAGAATCAGTCTGCCACTGTCACACTTGGAGCTTATTGAAGTTCTAAAGCTATTTTCAAAGGCAGCTCAGTAATAGTGGCCTCATCTCTATTTTCAAGCAGCAGGTGTAGCTGCTAGGGCTGGTAAAACCACTCTGGGCAAGAGCTACAACTAGATATTCCCAAATAAGGCTGAGTTCCACAATCTGACTGCAGACCTACTCTGTTTCCCCGAAAATCAGACAGGGTCTTATATTAATTTTTGCTCCAAAAATGCATTAGGGCTTATTTTCAGGGGATGTCTTATTTTTTCATGTACAGCAATCTACATTGAATCACTTACAGATGTCATCTTCTGGTTGCTGCACAATGGTGGAGGGCATGGTTTCACTTGACTGGCGCTTATTTTTGGGGTAGGGCATCCTGAAAAATCATACTAGGGCTTATTTTCAGGGAAACAGGGTAGTTCTTACAGTGTGTCACAATATAATGTTTTACTTATATCAGCAATCTTACCAATAGAGTCTACACTGAATGATAGAAAATATGTGGGTAGTTGTTGTCTTGAAAACTGACTTTGAATGACATTTTCAAGGTGGTTCATCACTTCCCTGCCCCAAATTGATGTGTAATCAGCCAATTGAATATCCTGCCATTGGCGTCTTTTAAAAATATATAATCAGGATTGAGTGTAAGTGTAGACATCCAGACATCAAGTCTACAACTGATAGCAAGTCTATGGAACATAGGAAGCTGTTAAGCTCAGAGTCGGACCATTGGTTCATCTAGCTGAGTACTTTCAAACCCTACTTGCTGGGACTGAACCCGAGGTCTTCTGTATGCAAAGTGTATGTCGAACAGTGAGTTAAGGTCCTTCCCCACACAGCAAGTCCTTTGAACATGTGGGGAGTGGCTGTAACTTTGTGACACACACTTCATATCCAGAAGGTCTGTTGTGTGGTTGTGGAGGGAACAAGAAACATAACTGGATGATATTGGAAGATGGATGTCACTGCAGCCTGTCAAGCATCACCTTCTGGAACATATCTTCAAAACCACTGAGAAGAGGCCTTTCTTACTCCACCTTCTGGAACACACTGTATCTTCAAAGCAAAACCACTGAGAAGAGGCCTTTCTTACTCTTCACCTTAAAATGCAGTCCTAAAAGATACGCTAACCAGTTATAGCAAACTCCTAAGGGATCCTAGAGAATTGGCAGCCTTTCCCAAGTGGAGAGTCACCTGTGGCAACCAAAGCAAGCTTTATTCCAAAACTTTTAAAGCCAGACAGACTGAAATCAATAGAAGTAATTAGCTTCTTACTGTTTATGCTTATTTGTGACTTGTTTCCTCCCTCCCATCCTTGTATTTATCAGGCTGAATTTACCAAAACATTGTAGTAAAGTATTTGTCCAAGCACTATTTGGCATTAGAGCAAGGATAGGGAATGCTTGTTCCACTGGCCTATAACTCTTCTCCCTGGCACAGATGTTGGAGATCAGAAAAGCCTGCAGGCCATGTATTCCCTATTGTTCTACTAAAGGACTGGGGCAAGACATCAGGATATGGAGTGACACTGACATACACCATTGTTCTCCTTTTAAGCTTTTTAAAAAAAGAAGTAGAGAGTAAAGGGGGAAGGTGAGAACAAAAGATAAGGAAAAAGTAGTTAAAGGGAGAATTTTTCTTTAATCTGAGAGGATACTTATTGAAAAATATTTTTTCTAACTAAATATGAGGGTCTGAAATGGTTGAATTTAAAAAGTATTGAACATCTTGGAACGTTATTTTTTAAAAAGCATGATAGTAGCTATTGTCTATTATTTTCCCAAAAGAATGCAGTGGATGCGCAGTACCTTAAAATTGGGCATTATTTTTGCTACTTTAAAAAGCAGGTTAAAATGCTGCCAGTCCAAATTTCAGAAGTAATGCCTAAATATTACAAGCATGTAGACATGTTAATAATGTTACCAGTCATTACATTATTTTGCTAAAACAAAATGATTGTCCTCTATTCTACCCCAAAACATCACGTTACCATACTGCTAGTTGTAATGTAGGACTTGCAAACTCTAACACTGTGAATATGTTTATATGTGTGTGAGAGAGAAGGTTAAAATTAACATAGTTGCCTATTTCTTGGCATAAAATCAGGTTTCAACAGATGCATCCTTTGCTGTACCTGAGTGCACAAGGGCCATTAAATCTGTTCAGCTAATTATATTTAAGTGTGTATCAGGTTTGTAATGTGGGATGAGGAAGTTTTGCTAGATCATACTGTTGACAGATAGGATAGGGGACTGGGAGAGCAAAGGCTAAAGTGAACAAATGAAAGGACCTTTCAGTGACAGCAAAAATTAAAAAACAAGAAGATATCCCGGGGATGCTCATGTTCATAGTCTTTGGGTTGTGGGTCCCTTTCCTGCTAAGTGTTGGAGATGATCTGCTGCTCCTCTCAAACTTTTATGAAGTGTGGACAGTGTGAAGTGTGCTCATCTAAATTCAGTGGCATTGTGTTTTAATCCCCAGGGAGTATCTTGCTGTCTTCAAGAAGACTGTATCAGCACATGAACTCTTCCTTCAAGAAATTTCTTCTCACCCTGTTCTCAGCCAAGATCACAACTTCCACATCTTCCTTGAATATGATCAGGATGTAAGGCATGTTATCTTTTAGACTGTCAGGTTACATAAGATTGCAGTAAGCCAAGCTTGTGCAACCAATCACTCTTTAAATCCTGCTCCCCTGTCAGGTATGATAGACCACCCACAAGTTGTTAAAGCCTCCTGTATTTGTTGCTTGTCTTTTACTGTGAAAATGGCGGAGATACCAGGGATTAGCAAGCAGGTAGTAGTATGTGGCTTGCCTCCATTAAGCTTGGTAAATTGCCCATTGTTTGGGCCTATTGTGAGTTCTCCAGTCGTTTACTCAAATAGCATTCTGTGCTACAAATTCTAGTGCGCAAAGTTTGTAAGGGAGCAAAGTACCAAAACCATATTGCTAATTCTAGTTAGCATTTATTTTGGAATATAACCTTTCTCTATTTTTATACCAGTTTCTGTGTAATGAGGAGCTGGATATAGAATTTATAGAAAAGTAGGAAGACGAGGATTTTGGTTTTACTAGCACAATCACTCCCCAACTCCACACCATAATCCAGTCTTTTCAGTTTGCCAGGAAAAAGAAAATAGGACAAGAATGTTCCTCTATTCTGCTGCCACGAAGGCGAAACTTCCCCCCCCTTTTAAAAAAATATGAAAACCTTGTACATTCTTACCATGTATAGTTGTGTTCAAAATTATTCAACCCCCAATGCTGTAAAGGGGTTTAGGGACTATAGTGTACATTTGGAATTGTATTCAGAATGAAATCCTACAAGGACGTTTTAAAGAACCAAATGCAACTAAAATAACATCAATTGTTTATGTAATACAGTAGTAAATGTTTCTTTTGTGGTTTCTTCATTGCCACAATTATTCAACCCCTTAAAGACTACCACTCTGAAGAAGAGAGGTTCATTCAGGTGTTTTCGATCAGGTATTGAAAACACCTGTGGATGTCACCGAGCACCAATCAAGCATAAAAAGCACCAATTAGGCAGCTTTAAAATGACTGTGATACTCAGCTCCTTCTAGACATTTACTGGTGTGGTTACATGCAACATTTCCTAGTTACATTAATGGTACATCTGATGTCTAGTGCAAATTGTTCTTTGCCTCTGATGCAAACTTTTTTTGGCCATGAGCACCTGTTAAAAAGTGCAGATCACTTCCTCCAGTAGAAAAACAAGGCAGTATGCCGGCTGTCTGTTTCTTAAGATTGCGGAACAAACACGATAGTAAGAGTATTGTGAACCTATTATGTTCCTGTTTCATATTGTCCCCTTACGTGAATTGCTGAAAACAAATTTACCACTCTCCTTGTTTTGGAATAAAAATAGTCATTGGTCAGTACCTTCTTGCAATGACTATTTTTTGTCCAAAAACTGGAGAGTGATAAATTTGCATAAATAGCACCTGTCAAAGGGGTTTTGTTTGTTTGTTTGTTTGTTTCTGTAGCACCTGTCAAAGGGGGTTTGTTTGTTTGTTTGTTTGTGTTATTTATATATACCGTCCCATTGGTACAGAGCACAATTCTGGGTGGTATAATGTTGATGTTACCAGCAGGGGAAGATTTTCAGTAATTAAAGACTTGCTACTTTAATCCCACAACTTTTCTGACTCATGAATAACCCATTTATTGTGAGGCAGAAGTCTTTAATTACTGAAAAGATATCCCTGTCATAATTATTTTTAGTGATAGTGATTTTCAGTAATTAAGAACTCCCTTATCCTGTGGCCCCCAAATTTCTGATGCCTAAAAGGATTCCATGGAAACCTCAAGACCATTGTGGGAGGCAGAATCAGAAACACTTGGTTTTTGAAAAACAGCCACACTGACAAGACTTGTGGGAAGAGGATTTCAGCCCATATGACTGATGTTTGGAAATTTCTGTTGCCTTTCAGGCTAGTACGGAGTTTCTTGCATATAGAATTTCATTTAAGTAGATGAGATCTTCAGCACAGAATATTGTTCTGTGTTTAGTTAAATCTAGGATAATAACGGCCCTAAAGAGATTGTTGTTTCCCATGTTTTGTCATGTTTCTCTTAGTTAAGCGTTCGGAGGAAAAATACCAAGGAAGTGTTTGGTGGCTTCTTTAAAATTGTGGCAAAGAGTGCTGATGAAGTTCTGTTCTCTGGGGTTAAGGTAAGATCACCTCTAAAGTTAAGTTTTGTTTTCTGTAAATTTGAATGCCTACTTGCACTGTTGGGGACGTGGTGGCGCTGTGGGCTAAACCGCAGAAGCCTGTGCTGCAGGGTCAGAAGACCAAGCAGTCGTAAGATCGAATCCATGCGACGGAGTGAGTTCCTGTTGCTTGTCCCAGCTCCCGCCAACCTAGCGGTTCGAAAGCATGCATTTGCAAGTAGATAAATAGGGACCACCTCGGCTTCCGACTCTGTTTTGTCATGTTTCTCTTAGTTAAGCGTTCGGAGGAAAAATACCAAGGAAGTATTTGGTGGCTTCTTTAAAATTGTGGCGAAGAGTGCTGATGAAGTTCTGTTCTCTGGGGTTAAGGTAAGATCACCTCTAAAGTTAAGTTTTGTTTTCTGTAAATTTGAATGCCTACTTGCACTGTTGGGGACGTGGTGGCGCTGTGGGCTAAACCGCAGAAGCATCACCTCTAAAGTTTTGTTTTCTGTAAATTTGAATGCCTGCTTGCATTGTTAGATTTTCAGTTTCCTGCCTTACAATTCAAGATAATTGTATACAGTACTGTATTTGGTAATCTGTACAGACTTTGTTTAACTGCTAGGACAAAATTATTTGTGGCTTGCATTGTTAGATTTTCAGTTTCCTGCCTTACAATTCAAGATAATTGTATACAGTACTGTATTTGGTAATCTGTACAGACTTTGTTTAACTGCTAGGACAAAATTATTTGTGCAGTATTTGTGGAATGCAAACATTAGTAAAGCTGAACTATGAACAGTTAGTGTTTAGAAATGTGAGTTAGGAAAAGGAGTGGGAAATTTACCAAAAGGGTTGCATTCTGTGCTGGGTACCGTAGCAGAATCCAGCTTCAACGAAGAAGGTAATTCCCCAAAGCTATGCCTGGAGCGCTGGCCCCCTAGAGTCGAACATGACTGGACGAAAATTGTCAAGGGGAACCTTTACCTTTACCTTTACTTACACTGTTAGATTTTCAGTTTCCTGCCTTACAAATCAAGATAATTGTATACTGTATTTGGTAATCTGTACAGACTTCGTTTAACTGCTAGGACAAAATTATTTGTGCAGTATTTGTGGAATGCAAACATTAGTGAAGCTGAACTATGAACAGTTAGTGTTTAGAAATGTGAGTTAGGAAAAGGAGTGGGAAATTTACCAAAAGGGTTGCATTCTGTGCTGGGTACCGTAGCAGAATCCAGCTTCAACGAAGAAGGTAATTCCCCAAAGCTATGCCTGGAGCGCTGGGGAGCCCACTTCCAGGCAATTCCTAGGATTGTGGAGAAAAGAGAAGAAAGGAAGTTCTCGAACATATGTGGGCATCATTTTGGACTTACTCCAAAGTGCCCTCTGAGAAAAAGTTACCAAAATATCCTTGGAACTTGACTAAAACTAGAAAAAAATAATCTCTTGGTATCTTTCCAAAATGATTTGTGATAGATCCCATGCTGATTATTAAGTAGTTCTGTGTTCAGAGTTTGGTGTCTCCAAGGTAAGATAAGGAAAGCCTTCCAATTGAGATGATAGCGAATTACTATCAGTGAGACCAGAAAACACAAAGTTAGGTGGACCATATTTCTCACTTGATATAAAGCACATTTCTCTTCTGAATAAGCCCCCAAAATGCTCCTGTGGATACATTTTTACTTGCTACCCTAACCCTTGCATAATGCCCAGTGGTGTGCAGTGGATAGAATGATGGACTAGGACTCAGGAAACCTGGGTTCAAATTCCACTATGGAAACCCATTGGATAGATGGAACTGGTAAAACCTCTCCTTAAATACCTCGCTTACCTTGAAAGCCTTATTAGGATCCCTGTAAGTCAGTTCTCATTGGACAGCACAGAACAAAAAAAAAACTTGCCTGTTGGTTCTGCTCTTCATTAAGATTTTCTGTTTGCTAGATGATTTATTATTATTTGGAGTATAATTAATTTCTATGGACTTTATAATTTATATACAGTTGTGCTTTGCTTAACGACGATAATCTGTTCCAGGAAAATCGCTGTTAAGCGAAAACATTGTAAAGCGAATTAAAAAGCCCATTGAAATACATTGAAAACCATTCAATGCATTCCAATGGGTTGAAAACTCACCGTCCAGCGAAGATCCTCCATATGATGGCCATTTTCTGTGCCTGTATAGTGAGGAATCCGTCCCTAAGCACAGCGGGGAGCCATTTTAAGCACCTGGCGGCCATTTTGAAAACCCGACGATCAGCTGTTTTTG